GAACTAAAATCATATCCCTGAATTCGATCACAACCGGAAAAGCGGCAGATAACATCATTATCAAACAAAGACGTTAGTATTCAAAATTGGCGTCGAGTTGGTTTAAGAGATTTAGGTAAATTTTTCTTCAAAGTGTCAAATGAATCTAAGCAACAACCATTGTTAGTAGCATTTCATCAGGTTAAGAAAGTAAAATCGATATCTTGAAAGTAAGATATGGGAGTTGTCTCACGCGCGTTACGTGCATGGATTTCGGACTCCCGCGTTTGAAATGGCCGTGTGATTACGTTTCATTTATAATTATTCTGATAACGATAGCTTTTTCATGATGACAAAATATGATTTTTCGTCTCGTCACGAGCATGGGACAAAGAAAAAATTCTGAACATTCGTGAAGAATTCGGTTTCTCTGCTGCAATGCTCACACTGAGCCACAGAGACTATCAGTCATGTCAATAGCGTCGTGTACAACAACGACATGATAACCAGCTGTATTTGTACCCTGTATTTTATATATTATGACAACTCGCTCAATCTCTTCAAAACAATGTAGTCACTACTGTTGACATAAAAGCTGTTATTTTTTCTCGATTCAGACTTCGTCGAAAACCTTTTTACATTCTCTTCAGAGCCTGCAGTATGCATGCAGGACGCGTGTCAGTTGAACTTCGTAGTAGACCTCGCTCACCGTCTCTGTGGCTCAGTGGTAGAGCATCAGAGCGTGAAATCCGAAGGTCTAAGGTTCGAATCCTTATGGGAACTAAAATTTTTCTTTTCCCACGCGCGTAACAAGACGAGAAGCATCTTTCTCCTGATACAGAACTTAGTTTTTAACATCTGGAGCCTTCTCCAGACCGAAAATAACGTGAATTAAGCTTTGTCCATTGTAATAACAGGCGTACAATTTATAACTGAACCTCCAAATCCATTCTTTGCTCTGGAGGGAGACGATAGTACTCTTGAATGGAGGTATGCATTTGGAAATGAATCCTTTCGTCAGGTGATGTTTGCAAATGTCAAAACACCCAGAATAGTGGATCGAATTATCTCCTGTTGACGACACACCCTGGATAATAGACTCTTACAAAGCATCAATCTTACAATGTTCCGATTTTTTCCCTTTTTCTTAAATGTATCGTCATTGAAGAGGCACTCTTTTTATCAGCCCGTTTTTGTATCAGATAATTTGCTTCTCTCGGTGGACCCTAGGACCCCCCTGCTTACAGTAAATAATGAAAAGAAAATCTGTTTGAAGGATGGAACCAACTATTGGAAGAAAAAGTACTAGACAGAGACAAATGGAATTCAATAACCTGGTCTCTATCAAAGGACAGAAAAATATGGTTGACACAGATTTTTCCGAAAGTTTTTGTCGAGTTTTTCCTATTCTTTTCAGTAATTCATTCAGAGTTGTGATTACTTAATTGGTTCCAGGCCCCCAGATTTCACATAGAATTTCCTGTCCCCTCAAAAAAGGCCTTTTAAGTGTTTACTTTTGATCGTACCTGATTGCACCTACGATCAATTGAGCGCAAAGCGAATGGGTCAGTAAGATAATTTTGTTTGTTTGCCAAATAAAAGAAACCAACCCCTTGACATGGGAAGTATTTTGTTTCTCTAAATTTATGGATAGTGCTAATCTTAAGGAAACTTAACATGCTGGCAATTAGCTAAATTATTGTGGATTGACTAGGAACATGTTAAGAAAAACACACACATCTCTTTTTTTTTTCTTTCACTTTGTTATAGTCTCGACAGAAACATTTTACCTTGCAGACAGACAAATCGCGACGGATGTCTCCGTTCGGTTATTTGTGTCTGTAAATTAGGCTATAATTGGTGGATTTACAAAATTTGCATCTCATTGCAATTAAATTTATCCAAAACGATTGACTGACTACGCTTTTAAAAGCAGACCGGCGAAAGAACAGTGGGAAAGTGCGATACTGAAATGGTTGTTAGAATAGCTTTTTTACTTTTTCTTTCTGCGCCACTTACACATCAAGGTTAGTTGTCTAAACTATGCGAATACAATGTAGTTTAATTCATCCAGCGATGTAATCAGTGATGTTGATCCATCCGTATTGCAGTGATATCCATGATTCCTACATTTTAGGTCTTACAGCATATTAAAGGCGCTTTCAATCAAAATATCGTAAATATTGTATTTGTACATCATTTTGATCGGTATTCACGTTTCAGAACCGCGTGCCTAGATAGTTTTTCCTTGATTTATGACAAGAACTTCCGGGAGCTGTATTAGCTTATGTAAGACCCGAGATTAAGTGAGTCTGTTTGATGTGAAGACTTGTGAGATAGGTTCTGTTTGCACTTCTGTTTTAATCAATTTGCTGTTCATAATTTGAAAGACCATAACTTGCTCTTAAACACTGAGTTAAGCGAAATCGATCAGTTAGTGCGTCCCACAACAGGGAGTCGTCTTAACTGGAGCTTTTGACTTAATTGCATCCATGAATACAACAAACCAATGGTTTGTATTGTTTGTGAAATATGTTGAATCTTCGGATCGTAAGCACAACATGGCATCAACATAGACGATTCTTAACAGGTTAAATGTTATATATTTTATTTTTGGTGTAAAGCGAACTTGTTGTTCACGATTGAATGACTGCAAGGAATTTTAATTCAGTACACGTCATGCCTAGAGAGGGATTGAATAATTTATGTCTATCCTTTTGATCTGGTAAACAATTTTCGTTAAAATTATGTTTACACCAGTTTCCTCCTTTTCAAGCTTACCTGGTGTAGATATGGCTTTGATCAACAATCGAAAGTCTTTTTTATTGTTGGGCATGACAATAGGACACTTAAGGTATCTTCAGTCCTAAAGAAAAATGACGTAGACACCACAGTGAGGTACACTATTGTTACAGCAGTTCATTTGTTGTATTTTACTTCATGATGCGTGAATGTTTATTTAAAATTACCCTGAAAGCCTTGATCAATGTATAGCGTAAGGCTAATTCTGCCAATTAAACTAGAAACTGTTGGGGGTGATCAAATTTGACGTTTATTTGAAGAGCATTTCCGTATTAGCGGACAAAACAAGAATTATTCCGACAAAACAAAGGTCAAATTTTGTCATGATGAATTTTTGTTTCGTCGGTTGCATCTGCATTAAAAATTTTAAAACCGTCACATTCCGTCAGCGCCTGATCTGTTCATAGGATCGGCCAACATAGTTGCCGAAGGATTTCACCTTTAATTTCCGTAAGTCATTGTAAAACTTTAGAATACCCGAGCGTCGCAGCAGAAGACAATTACTGCCTTTCTAGTAAACTGATTACGGTTCAATTACACGCTTGTCTTTGCTTCAACGACAAATGATTGACATGTTTATCGTGGTTTTGTATAATTAGTCGATTTTGGCAAATTATCACGTAGGAAAAACTTTGTCGGCGGTGCGTCTCAGGTTTTGACGGCTACGGCCAGAATTAGAAGAGTCGCAACAAACCATCCGCACTTGTAAAATGTTGGTGATGACAGAAAATATGTCTAAATAAACAATTTTGTCGCTAGTGCGGAAAGGCCCTGATGAAATTGAAAGTCGGAAAGACAATTTCAAATGCAAAAGTAATCAAGCGTAAAGGAAAGGCTGCAAAAGGGCATTGATTTATGTAAATAACCCGTGTGTCCGTTGATGACTCTGTTGCGTGATTTTAACTCATTGTTTTTTGATCAAATATGAGGAAAAAGAAACGAGAAGGCAACTAATTGGAAAGGCTAGCAGCGATGACTAAGCCAAACGGCAAAAATTTAGCTTCTTGCAGTCTGCTTTCACAGTTTGTTAACGATAGACGGCAATTTTTGCAAAATTTTCCTATAGTTTCGATTAAAAAATTTAAGGTTGAATGAGCAAAATTGTAGCCCGTTTTTGCCACTATTCGCTGCTATTGACGCAATTTATTAACAAATTTCAAGTCCCTAAATGCTCTCCTTTTGCACCATTTTTAAAAAAAATTTCCCCTCTAACTGCTACGCATTTCCTGTAAATTAATTGCAACAATTTGTTGCTTCGTCAAGATAAAAAATTCTGTCTGAGAATTTTGATGTTCTCATTACCTGTTTGCCAGATAGTGTGGGGATATTATAGGGAGAAGTTTCATGCTCATAGCTTCTGAGATAAAATATTTAAATAAATACACGTTACTCGATCGTTAAACATGTAATACGTGCTGATATTCATTTTTGCGAGTTGCGAAGTATTCCCGGAGCCCCGAAGGGGCGAGAAAAAATACAAGCAATACATTAGGTCGTTTAGTGCGGCCATTTCATTGCTCCGTAATTTTGCCTTCCTCTACAGCATAAGACCGTGGCATATTTTGCGCGTTCTTATGACCTTATTTGGCAAAATGACATAGTAGTGGATTAGAAAAGACGCGTATCACCTATTCTAATACGAATATGCTTAGCAGATTTTTATTGCTTTTCATATAAGTGTATTTAAGGGAGGAAAAGATGCTGTTCATCAGTCAATTATAAATTGAAAGATACCGACAGGAGTCAACAAAAACACGACATTTGCCTTTCATTTTACAGCGAATCAGCATTCAAAGCGCCGGCTCTTTCTTCTTTTCAATCCTTCCGGCTGCCGATCACCATGACGAAGAGACGTTTTAAATGTTTGATTTTATTTTACTATCCCTTGCAGGCTTTCGTTCTCTCGAAAGAACAATTGCTTTAGTAAATGATAGTTTGACCTAGGAAGATAATTTAGCATCATTAACTGAGTTGATAACGTAAATGACCACCGTGAAGAGTTTCGAAGCTTACGTTTCGAGCGTTAGCCCTTGGTCTTCCGCTCCGACGAAGGGCCAACCCTTGAAACTTCAGCTTCAAACCTCGTTACGTTGACCAATTACGTTATCAAGTCAGTTGATCATAATTATAATAAATAAGTCTGTTATACTCTCCCACCGAAGGAGCACCACAGTTTCTTTAGAAACTTACCCCCTTGTCCTAAGAAGAGTTTTATTTGAATTTCAGATGAGCCCGAAGTTGCAATTGATGGTAACCAAGAGCAGTTTATAGCTGAAGGCGAGAGCTTCACGTTGATCTGTCGGTATAACGCTTCACCGCCTGTGTCTGAGGTGCAGTGGATAAAAGATGGAAATGTGATTACCATAAATGCCACTGTGACTAACAACGGATCAAGAGTTACTAACATCTTTTATAATGAAAGTCTATCACAGCTTTCAATCACCTCAGCTTCCTCACAGAATTCTGGAAATTACACCTGCAATGTTACAAATAATGTAACTGATACAACAGATTCGACGTCGATTGTTATTCAAGGTATGTATACGATGTTCATTACTTCCTATACAACATATCTGTGGCATTATTTCTCTCAGTGTTCCTGGTTAAATTTTTTTGTTCGTTTAAAATCTTATTCTGTGGAAGGAAAAGCCAACCCAGCAGTTCTATGTAAACACAATTACACGAATTTATTTTTGCCACAAAAAAATTCTCTCGTCAAAATGAGCATCAAATTTGTTTGATCAGTCAAACAAAATTTGCCTTGATTTACGCGTTCAAAAAATAATTTAATTCCTTATCTCAATTTCTAGACGACAACCATTCCTTCCTCATATACTAATAAAAAATAAAAAAACAAATTTTAAAAAAATAACAAAAAAAAATGTCAATCATAGGAAAGTTTAACTTACTACACTTTAGAAAGCCTCGAAAGAAGACGTAAGAGAAAAACTGTACAATACCTTGGAATACCAAATAACTGACTAAAGTATTTCTGTTCTCTCACAGAGAAGCCCTCCACCAAATTGCAGCCAGAAACTGTTACCGTCAAGGAGGGAGAAAATGACACGTTATTTTGTAACTCTTCTGGAAGCTCTCTAACAATAACGTGGAAATTCAACGGAATTGATGTAACCACCTCAGGGGATTCAAGGATCAGTTTATCAGATGGCAATCGACATTTGATTATAACGAACGTGAGCAGGGTAAACAAGGGGGAATACAAATGTGTGGCGAGCAACAAGGTTGGAAACGATACATCTAATACTGCCTTTGTACTGGTTGAATGTAAGTACAGAGCAAACGTACCAGGCCGTTTTAACTTATTGGCAGTCTTGAAGTTTCTTTTTTCTTGCTTGGCTTGGCTTGAGTTGATAGCAAAAAGATTGCATTCTTAAGTTGACATTATTATACTATTAAATAACCAAGCATTCACCAAAGTGGAGGTGGCAAGTGGCGGATATTCAGAGGCTTAATAGCCCATCAGGGCGGGTCTTCAACGCTACTATTACACTGATGTAGATTATTGATATTAACAATTTTGTTTTGTTTTTTGTTTATTCAATTCCTTTTAACGTTTGCTGTTTTTTTACAGTTATCAAACGGAGTAACTTTCATTCAAATCAGTGTTGCAGTGTTGTAGTATTTCAGCAAAAATTACCAAACGGCAATTTTTGCTGTATTTTGTGAAATACGTATGGTTTTGCAGTGACTCAGTTTTTCAATTTTTTATCTTCACATTACTAGTTGGACCTGAAATCTCCGAACCTCCGACTAATCGCACAAAAGAGGAAAAACAAACGGTTGATTTTAGTTGCGTAGTCGCAGGATACCCTACACCTGATGTCGTTTGGACAAAAAATGGACTGGAATTGAATGTGACAGGAGATATGCGACTTAGTGTATCTTCCAATGATGGAGACCACCAATTGAACATATCAAATGTTCAACAATCGGATGCAGGGCAGTACAGATGTGTAGCCAATAACAGTTTGGATACCGCGACTTCATCTTCAGCGACCCTAACAGTACAATGTGAGTGCCAAAGTAGTGTATATTTGCATATTTGCAACGTTCTAGTATTGATCACTTTTTTTATTCGAGTTTCCTCCAGCGTTGACCACAAATTCTATAGATCATTATTATTGACAAAACCTCTCTCTTCGGTTGATGTTCTTCTCGTACTGAAAATGGCAAAAGACCAAGTTGAATTAATGCGAAGAGCCAATGATGCTAAAAGTTCCTCAATGGATCAAATACATGTGTCAGACACTGCAGGGAGCTGCGTCCAAATTGTTCTCGACATCTCAGCTTCTCCCTCTCAAATCTTCGATTTGTGGTTTTTGATTAAAGGGTCCTGGGTAAGTTCTCGCTTTACAATAATTGTTCTCCCTTAACTTTAATATGATGTTATCAATGAAGAGCGGTTTCTATGTCGTATCACTGAATTTTAGTTGCACCAGAAGTCACAATCGATGGAGATCAAAAACGGTATTTAGCCAACGGCACTGATTTACTGCTGACATGCCAATTCAACGCCTTGCCTACTGTTTCTGAGGTGCAGTGGGTAAAAGATGGGATTGTTATTGTATCAACCCTTATTACGCCTTCGAATGGGTCACGTGTCACTATTTCACATCATAATGAAAGCCAAACTCAGTTGTCGATCATCGCAGTTTCCTTGGAAGATGCTGGAAATTACACCTGCAATGTCACAAATAATGTTGGTAGTTCCTCATCAAATTGGACGTCGATTGTCATTCAAGGTATGTTGAGATGTAAATGGACTTAGACTTGAAACAATTTGATTTGTCAATATATTTCTTGGCCGAAAGTGACCAAAAGCAGAAGTTCGATGTGAAGTCGAGGAACTGTTTTATACCAGGCTCAAATCTTTTAAAAGCTTGTGGCCAAAATTTTACTCGTGAATTGACACACTGAAAGACCATTCTGTGCGTGTTCCTCTGAGACCTTACGGTCCTTCCAGAGTCTCAATAGGGTGTTGGCTTTTACGGCTAATGGTTAAAATTTTGGTCAATTTACGGCTAAACCTCATTTTCTATCCACAGTGATCACCAGAAATTTTTCAAAGCCTAATCTTTTTCCGACTAACAATTAAAATTTGATAACTTTTACGTCTAAGGGCTAATGCTATCGGCCGTTAACAATTGATCCATTGAGACCCTCTACTTCTCACATGTGTTGCAAGTAACATGTTTGGCCGAAAAATTTTATTCTCGTGTAAATAAGAAAAAAAAAGCTCACTCAACATCATTGGGCGAAAAAAAAAAACAATTGTGCATGTTTAGACGCCAACGTTCGTTCAGTCAGAGGAGGGATGGGAATTAAGTCATAAAACGCAGTAACCGGCCTAAGTGGAGACCTGCAAGAGAAAATTTGTAACATAGTAATCTGCTTTAGAGCTGACAAGAAGATTTTACGTTTACGTATGACCTCTTTTGATTTTGCAGTGACACCATCTATAGAGCAGGACCCAAAAGCCAGTCCGGTCAAAGAGAGAGAAAACTTGACTCTATTTTGCAACGCTTCTGGGAGCTCTTTGAGGATATCATGGGAAAAAAATGGATCTGGTATAAATCCCAGTGAAGATTCGAGAATCCTTTTGTCAAGAGACAACGTACAGCTGACAATAGTTAATGTGAGCAGGAAAGACAACGGAGCCTACCAGTGTGTGGCAAGCAACGAGATTGGAAGTGCTACCTCCAATGCTGCCAAAGTAAATGTTCAATGTGAGTACAAGTGTGGTTTACGAGCGGTTGCGAAATGTCAATTTACTGAAAAGATATGTTTGGCCTGAGAAGCGTGTATATAGTTAACCTTCAAGGGTAGTTAACCTGTTTTGAAAATCTTTCTTAACTATTACTCTATTGTCGCACAGCAGAGTTCTTCCAAATCGAATAAGCAGCTGATTTTCATGAGGATCACTTACTCTCATTTTGCATGATGCCTAGTTTCCCAGAAGTTGTGGTGCTGTACATGCATTTCAGGGTTATGGATTCGAGTCTTCTTTACGGCCAATTTTTTTGCAACCGCCGACTTAAGCTTAGTAAATGGCAAAGGGTGTTACTTTATCGGAAGGAAATAATCCTTGAAAAGCAGAATTGTAACCTATTTGTTGTTTTGTTTGTTGAGAAAAATTCAATCGCTGTTGTTGATGATTGCAGACGTGTTTATATAGGCGTTGATATTTTGAGTGCTAAAATAAAAAGGTTGATTTGTTTTGGTCGCTTAGCTTTTATTCAAATCACAGCTGCATGGTTATTAAAGGACACAGTCCTTCATTTGAAGCAGGAAGTGGTGCAATATTTTGTGAAATACGTTTGATATTGCTTCGAATTGCAATTCTAATGTGTGTTTATTCATTTTTTTATGTTTTTTAATATATCAGTTGGGCCTGAAATCTCCGAACCTCCAATTGATACCACGAAAATAGAAGGACAAACTGTTGTATTAAGTTGCTTGGTGGCTGGATACCCTACGCCTGCTGTTGCTTGGACAAAGAATGACGTCGAATTGAATTCAATAGCAAATTTACGATTGAATGTCTCTTCCAAGAACGGAAATCACACTTTGAAAATAACAGATGTTCAAAAATCGGATGCAGGACAATACAGATGTGTCGCTAATAACAGTTTGCAGACTTCTAAGTCATCTCCTTCGACTCTTACAGTTCAATGTGAGTTTAAAAGTATATTCGAAGCATTGCATTACTGAATGTTTAATTGTGTCTTCAGCGTTGTTGTCCTCAAATACCATAGATACAGGTTTTTGTAAAGCCAGTCAACCTTTGGTGGTACATTACTAAGGATTTTAAAACGGACCAAAATAAGTTGACATCTGAGTTTTGGATGGCGATTCTGTAAAGATATGTGTTGAGCATTAAAGGAAACATATTTTTACAGCATCGTCAAATTCACCTTCCAGCTCTGATATCCTCCTTTCCTCCTTCTCAGTTCATCTGTTTATAAAGGACGTAGCTAAATTACCGTTATTCCGTATTTAACTCTAACTGTAAAAATTAAACAAAAATGATTTTATAAAATTTTATTAAATTTCAGTTGCACCAGAGGTGACAATTCACGGAGATCAAATACATTATGTAGCCAACAGCACAGATTTACAGCTCACATGCAGGTTTAACGCCTTGCCTCCCGCGTCTGAAGTGCAGTGGCTAAATAATGGGAATGTGATTGCATCAACCCTCCCCGTTCCCTCAAATGGGTCAAGAGCGACTATTCCGCATCATAATGAAAGCCAAGCTCAGTTGTTGATCACCACAGTTTCCTTAGAAGATGCTGGAAATTATACTTGTAATGTCACTAATGTTGTTGGTAGTTCCTCGAATTGGACATTGATTATTGTTCAAGGTATGCTCCGTTATGAATAAACACAAAAATACAATTTCCCAAAGCAATCACTCGGCGTTAGTTATCTCATTTAGGATAAAAAAAATCAGCTACCGAAGAGATTTTTAGTTTGTTTGTTTGTTTGCCTCCTGGTCGTTAAGGACCAAGACGAGGAGCTCGATCTTTATGGTCACGAAACCTTTTAGTCGTGTAAAAATCATATTCTTTTGTAACCCCTCTACTTCAATTTGACTCAGAAAATAGCATATATGGAGTCTTTGTGGCAAACACTTTGTAAAATGTCGCACTGATGTTAAAATAGTGGCATCTTTATTATTGGTTTATTCTCCTGCGAAAAGATAATAGTGTTTTACATTCCTACATTTTAGACCCCAACTAGTTCTTAGTTGTGCTCAAGAACACATATTTAAACTGTTTGGATACGGAAAAAAACGAATGATAGACAAATTTCATAAGTTTAAAATACTTTCTTGCATTTCTACAGTGACGCCTGCTATCGAGACGCACCCACAAGCTGATCCGGTCAAAGAAGGAGAGAACTTGACTTTCTTTTGCAACGCTACTGGAAGCTCTTTGACAATATCATGGACGAAAAATAGATCTTCTATAAATCCAAATGAAGACGTACGGATCCGTTTGTCAACAGACAAAGAGCATTTGACAATAAGGAATGTGAGCAGGAAAGACAACGGAGCATACCGGTGTGTGGCGAGCAACAAGGTTGGAAATGCTACCTCCAACGCTGCCATAGTGACTGTCCGATGTGAGTTCAACTATGGTTTACGACACGACTAAAAAATATGGATCGATCAAAATATAAATAGTTGTATACTTAAAATTCATCGTTGGTAAAGAATATTTAGGAAAGTCGGTTTCATTTGCTTTCTTATGTGATACAGCGCTCTAACCACCATGTCGCACTACATTTAGTAAATTATGTTTGATTTTGTAGGAAACAATTTATTTTTCATTATTTGTATTGATAGTTGCCCCTGAAATCTCCCAATCTCCAAGGGATACCACGGAAGCGGAAGGACAAACTGCTGTGTTCAATTGCGTAGTAGCAGGGTACCCTACACCCGATGTTGCTTGGGAAAAAAATGGAGTGGAATTGAATGTGGCTGAACATGCGCGACTTAGAGTCTCTTCCAATAATGGAAACCACCGATTGATCATATCAAATGTTCAACAATCGGATGCAGGACAATACAAATGTGTTGCTAATAACAGTTTGGATACTGTGACTTCATCTTCAGCAACCCTAACAGTACATTGTAAGTCTAACAGAATTTTTACTGTTAAACGTGCGAGTGTGGAATATTCTTTTATTTGGTTTGTTGGTTGGTTTTTTTTTTTTTCTAATTGTTGTCCATAAGTAATTCAGGTTATTATTTTTACAAACCCTACAAATCTTTGTGGTTTGGGAATTTGCTCTGGATTTGTCTTTAACTACTCAGTTGCTTAATTTAAAAAGTTATTTTGTACTTCGATGGATGAATGTATATGTTGGCCACTGGCGCCAATACATCAATATTATCCACTGAACTTTTACTCTGTAATTGACATATTTTCTCTCTTTGCTGCTCCATTTCTTGTTCTTGTTCCTTCATAAACCTTTCAGTCCACATGTATATTATTTTCACAAATTCGGCATTATCCAGAAAACCTCTTATTAGAATTTGCAGACTCATAACTTCTAGTGTATGATTTTCATATGATACCAATTATGCTCGGAAAGTTATATCATCTATACACATAAGATAAAAAATAAATAAATAAAAGCCCATGATGATGATACAATTACAATCATTAAATTACATTTTAGTTGATCCAGAAGTTACAATTGATGGTGATAAAGAGAAGATTGTGGCTAAGGGCGACGATATCAAGGTAACATGTCGGCACAAGGCCCTACCGCCTGTGACTGAGGTACAATGGATAAAAGATGGAGAGGTGATTTCAACAAACTCCACGAAAGTGATCAACAACTCCCGATTGAATATTCTGCACTTCAATGAAAGCCTCATACAGTTGTCGATCACCACAGCTATCGTGGCTGATAGTGGGAATTACACTTGCAATGTCACAAATATGGTTAACAGTTCATCAGACTTGACATCTATCATTGTCGAAGGTGTGTAAGAGCTGTTGACAAATTCTCATTAACCCGTGTTTTAGGGTAGGACAGCCATAAGCTGGGATTTATCCACACAGACGTCATAGAAATGAACACAGTTTTTAAGGTCTAATTAAAAGAAATGTGAGATCACCGGATACCGAGAGCAAGATTTCGCACGAGGCTCCAGGGCTGTCTATAAAGTGCATATTAAAGAGATAGGCAGCTGTGTACGCAGGTGTGCGCAGGAATTCCGAGTTACTTTATTGGTAACGGGGACTTCTTGATGTGTGCTGGGACATCCCAATTTTTAATGAGATAGATGATAAGCTACTCTCAGAGACGGTTACAACCTACTGGAATTACCAATAATCATTGCCTGTAACCGTTTCCGTTGCCCATAAACTTTTAAACATTTTTAAGATGAAGGATGTTTTTTTTCTTCTATTCTGTGTGACAAATTGTAATTTGTCCCAGCACCGGGGCATGGGTGAATATACATAATGTACACCTCAGATAAGTAAAATATTTTACTTTAGGTTTGATCAGAGCAGAAATGTTACTATTTCTTTTAATTTTTCCAGGGTTGCATAATCTTAAAGCACCTCGTGACTTCCTACGAAGTCTATGAGAAATTTCTTCAATGATTAATGTAGCGGAAATGCAGACTGTTTACAACATTGAAAACATAGTGGAGTGCTTCAGACTTAGTTTCTTTTCTGTTTTCCCCAATACAGTAAAGCCTTCCATCCTTACTCAGCCAAAAAGTGCTGCCCCTGAAGAAGGAGACACCGTCAAGTTGTATTGCAACGCTACAGGAAGCCCTATACTGCACATATCCTGGACGTTTGATGGATCTGTCATAACAGCAAACGAGAACTCCAGGATCAGTTTGTCCAACGACTCTCAAGAATTGACAATAACAAATGTGAAAAGAGGAGACAGTGGAGATTACCGATGTTTGGTGAAAAACAGGGTCGGAAATGACACTTCTGACCCCTCTGTGATAAACGTACTTTGTAAGTACGGAATAAGTTTGCTTTTCTAGGTCATGAAATCGTACTATAGTCGAGCTATACCCAATCTCAAAGACCTAAATTTTTTTAGCGTTATCGATAAGGTATAGACCAACTTCGGGTCAAGAGAAATGTAGATGAACGAAAAAAATTAAATAAATAAACAGAATTGAGTGTAATAGAAATTTCCGGATTGTGTTACAACATTCTAAAATAGGGGTCCAAACAGTCTCTCGTAATCCTAGAGATGGAAAGACAATTACCTGCATTACCTTTTACAAATCAGATACGTTGCCTTTAGAAGCCAGATAGGGCCTGATTCTGTTTGAGTGAACGACAAGCTGTTTCTAGTTTACCCATTAAATAAGATAGATCTCTTAAATAAGATAACTCTCTCAGGAATGAATGAACGAACTGGCAGAAGAAGAGAGTGGGTTTTTCTAGAAATTTTTCGGAATTCTCTTGCTTAAAGGAACGTTTAGCGATTTATTTGTCACAAAAAAAAAGGAATGAAAAAATCATTCGACCGATTGTAGAACTGCTTAAGGTTATGCTTCTGGTTTATTTATCTATTCATTTTCATTATCATTTTTTTTTTTTTACAGATCAGCCTGAAATTATTACGCATCCTAAGAATGTTACACTAGAAGAAGGACTCACCATGACCTTATTTTGTAACGCGACCGGAAATCCACCACCAACACTATCATGGACCAAAGATGGATCTCCTATAAATAACAATCAAGGGATCCCTTTTTCAAGAGACAACAAGACACTGTTTATAGCGAGTATTAATAGATCGGAAAGCGGAAATTACAGATGTGTTGCCAGGAACGGTCTCGGAAATTATTCCTCAAATCCTGCAAAAGTCGACGTACAGTGTAAGTGCTCCAGTAATTCTTTTCTGTCTTTTTCCTAATTTGGAAGGAGAAATTCTGTACAGTTGATAGGGTTAAAAAGGTATTTGGCACAAATGAATGTGAAGGGGGAAGTAGCGATGGGTTCCTAGGAGTTGAAAACAACGACCTCAGGAATCACCTTTCAAATCTTAAACTGAGTTAATGTCAAGTATAAATCAGACATTTTTTTTTTCACCACAAACGTTTACCTACGAACACTAACACAATTTATGATATCATTGGTGTCGCAACTTGTGCAAAAGAAACGAAATGTTTGGGGCCGAAAGTTGAATGTGCGCCCAGTATTCACAAACAGATATCTGGCTTGTTATTTCAATTCCCTGTTGCGTAATTTTTTCCTTTTCTTCAAGAAATCTCGTTCGGTCCCGTATTTGGGTAATTTTCGGCAGTTTCGTGGTGAGAAGGCAGATTGTTGTGCTATCAATCTTGTCAGCTTCATCTGAATGTCGACAAGGACGCCATAGATGTTAGAACTTTTCGTTAAACATCGCTCATTATCACCGATGACATAGCATTCCTGGATCTTGGCAGAAATAACAAATTATGTTTTCTCATTTATCGTTAGTTAGATGATGAAATATATACAAGATAAGCATAAAAATAAAAATAAGAAGAATTGAAATAATCCTATAGTCTTTCACACTGGTTAAGATTCATGCTTTGACAATCCAAAGAAACAACAAAAAAATGACGAGGACTTTGATATATACAAAGAAATAAGCCGGTAGCTTTTGAAATTCATTTATTTGAGTTAACAGAATGTAACACTTCTCTTTTTAAATTCCAAGTTGCACCTGAAATCGTGGAAAATCCAAAGGATGTCACCATGGTTGAGGGAGAACATGTTGTGTTTAGTTGTATGGTAGATGGAAATCCTTCACCAGGAGTTACTTGGACGAAGAACGAGGAAAAACTGAACATAACAGTAAATCAACGACTAACAGCGTCGTCACTGAACAACAAGCACAATTTGATAATCACAGATGTTCATCGATCGGATTCGGGACAATACAGATGTGTGATTATTAATAGTGTTGGCAACATAACATCATCTCCAGGAGATCTAAATGTACAATGTAAGTAACTCACAAAATTTATTTGACTGTAAGATTATTTTCAATATTTCATAATCTTAGCATAGGTGACAACACAAAGAGATCTCTTTGTGTCTATATTTATCAAATAAATAGCCTCGACTGTGCTATGTGCTTTTGCAAAGCACACAGGAGGCGGTTAGAGCACTAAAGAAGTGTAGGGGGAAACAGGAGACGTAATTGAGTCTTTCCCTTTCCAGAAGAGCCGTAAGTTATGTGCCTTTGAACAGACACACAGACAAGAGAGTAGATTTTCATTGAGAAAACAGATGGGAGTACAGGTTTAAATGTGATGCGTACTTTTGATCAAGCTCAAAGTTAATATGCGATGGGTGGGTTTTTTCGAAAAAGGCAAGGTATGGAATACCGTCTGTAATCTGTTTTGACGGAAAGAAAGAAAAGCGATCTAATATGAATAAGTGAACTGAAACAAGACGAAATGAAATGAAAATAAAACTTATGAAATGTGTAAGCCTGAAGGGAAAACGTGAGGTACCTGATAAAACTACTTGAACACAAAACCTTCTCTTTCCCACGAGCACATACTACAAACCATACATATCAACTATCGCCGCAGTCGAAGAACTGTTGTAAGATAGGTACTTTTGAATTCTGTTGTAAATGTTAGTTTTGATCTTAAAGCCGTTCTATTTTGATTGTTCTGAGTACTCGTATCGAGATAAGAAACCAGTTTTCACTAGAATTTGATGATTCATTTAACATCAATCACCGAAAAATTCATATCTTTCTTTTGCTACTCTAAACTACATGCCATCTTTTGTCCTTGTGGGATTTGATTCTTTTTAGGGCGTTCACACTTCCTCCGTAGCACTGGAAAAACGCGAGGTAGCCGTTTTGAAATTAAGCGCTCCTGCTATAATCACCTTGCGCGAGGTCATTTTAGCGAGATATGACGCAATCCTCGACCAATCAGGGCGCGCACATCTCTATAATGGCCGTAGCAATTATACACTATAAATATGCGTTAGTGACGTAACCTTAACCAATACCGCGCGGGTAGGACAGAAAAAAAAAAAAACTATATAGGATGTTTTTCACTATACTGAGTGAGATTTGAAATTTTCCCTTTCAAAGCTGTGATGCTTGAAATACTGTTTAAAGAGGATGTGACGGATCAGTTTTTTTAAAATTTGTGCTTGAAACGGGATCAGCAACCCTCCCCCACACCCCTCCCTCCTCAAATAGGTGTCCATGTAAGATATGGCTTTACTCAGATGCTCATTTTTAATAAGTACAGGCTACTTTGTGAAAAGTGTTCTTTGTTTGTTTATTTGTTTATATTGCCACTAACTTTACTCCCCTTGTTATTTTGCTGTTTGTAATTAAACAACTGCACATGGGATCATTTCACTCACACAAATTGGACTGAAAATTCAAGAAAACAAAATGCATGTATGTGTCAGTGGACCCATTATGCATTGCACACTTATACAAGTTCACGACATATACGGAAGGCCACTGAAAGACAAACGTGTGATGTGCTCGAAATTCAAGATAGGTTATTAAAATGAGAGTAGGCTAGAAAGCCCTTCAAATTTCTCTTGTTAGTTAAACCATAAACACTGCAGGCCTCTGCAAGAAGGTTATGGATGTATTTGATGTTTCCAGTTGAGTTAAAGACCAAAACAACAATCAGACTAAACTGCCTTTTTTTCTAGTTCCACCTGAATTTATCAGCAGCCCGCAGAATGTGACAGTAATAGAAGAGCAAAATGTTAACTTAACTCTGGATTGCACAGTTTATGGAAATCCTACGCCAGATGTGAAATGGACAAAAGATGGACATGATCTATCAGAAAATCAAAGGATTAATGTTTCTGATTTTAAGGGAAACACTTCAAGTTTGACAATTACCAAGATTGTGCGAGGAGATGAAGGCCAATATAGATGTGTGGCAAATAACAGTGTGAATACCACTACTTCAGCCCCAGGAAAACTGATAGTCAACTGTGAGTATTATTTCTGACTGCAATTTATGAGATATATAGTGTCAAAGCACTCTTGCTAGTATTGGTTGGGTGGAACCTGCAGAAAGTCAGCACACCAGGTACCTGAGACCCTTATACATGTAAGTATCTGCTGAGAGGACACCCAGAGGAACTCGTAATGTCTGTTTGGTATTGTTTAGAGTGTTTGCTTAATCATTTATCTCCAAGAAGTGATTAACATTTAACTTCTCCCTGTAGTATGAATATGTTATTCAACAAATAGGTGTAAGAGAATACCAATGTAGGCCCCGGTTGTTCAGTGGTTGGATAACGTTATCCACTCCGTTGGAAAGTGTTATCCACTCTTTGAACGACTGGGCCCAGAAGTTTTTATCTTGATCTAGAACCAAATTCTCGCAAGCACATGTAATTTACAAGGAACTTTGTAACAGCTAAAGAGAAGAATTTAAAAAAAGGACAGATATTTGGATTTAAAAGTTAATGCAGGTTCTAAGTGCACATATACTCAGCAAAGGTTTTAGTACTGTTCTGTCATCTGCCATTAACGTATATTTTGGGTGTGTCACTAAACATTTTTAGCATACATGTACCAGTTTGGTAAAACCTGCACAAAGGAAATATTTGCAAATAATGGGCAACATCTCTTGCGAAGAATGCATCCAAGGAGTTGAGAACAAGGATCAAAACTAGAATTCCACTTTGATACGTTTTGGAACCCTCTGTGACAAATTGATGTTTCATGAGCCAATCTGATGCCAGCATTATGCAAGACTGTGATAACTAACTTGAACAATCCTTATGATTACAGTTAGAGCAGATGTCAAAATAAGTGGCAGTGAACCAAAGTTTGTTGAAATAAACAAACAGATCCATCTGACTTGCCAGTACAATGCTTCGCCGCCGGTGTCGGAAGTACAATGGGTTAAAGATGGAAATGTGATTGCTCGAAATGGTAGTGGTATTGGTAATGGATCGGTGAATGTAACACAGTTCACTGAAAGTCAATCTCAGCTGCTAATTTCATCAAGTACTACACACGATGAGGGAAATTACACTTGCTTCGTAACAAATACTGTTGGCAATTCCTCAGATACAACGTCAGTCCTTATACAAGGTATGTTTTTCTGAATGATGCACGGTATATTGATATTTTGTACTATTGTTTGATCTCATCACTTTGAGCAATGTACAGTTAGCAGATGCTCTTCTCTGTTGGGCTGTTTTTTAGAGTCTACTGTAGTTAATGGCTTCCTCATTGACTTTGTTAACTTATTTTAAAACTGGGTTCCATTTTGTAAAAGTTTAATTTTTTTTAAGAAACACCTTTACACCCTAACATCAGTTTGCATATTTTCCATACTGTTCACTGTACGTTTTCTCAGGTGCTGAAAATGTTGCACTGATATTAAAATAGTGGCATCGTCATTATTGGTTTACTCTCCCGCGAGAAGATAGAGTGCTTTACATTCCTACATTTTGGACTTCAACTGGTGCTTAGTTATGTGCGTGGGAACCTGCTCGAGAACACCTATGTAAACTGTTTGGACACGAAATATAAAGAATAATAGGTAAACTTTTTAAGTAGAAAATACTTGTTTGCATTTCTACAGTGACGCCAGCTATCGACACGCACCCAAAAGCTGATCCGGTCAAAGAAGGAGAGAACTTGACTCTCTTTTGCAACGCTACTGGAAGCTCTTTGACAATATCATGGACAAAAACTGGATCTTCTATAAATCCAAATGAGGATGCACGGATCCGTTTGTCAGCAGACAACGAGCAGCTGACAATAACGAACGTGAGTAGGACAGACAACGGGGCATACCGGTGTGTGGCGAGCAACAAGGTTGGAAATGCTGTCTCCAATGCCACCACAGTCACTGCTCGATGTGAGTTTAACTATGGTTTACGACACGACTAAAATATAAATCGTTGTATATTTAACATTCATCTTTGACAAAAAAATGTTAGGAAAGTCAGTGTCATTTGCTTCCTTTTTCGATGTAGTGCTCTAACCAACATGTCGCACTACATCTTGTAAATTATGTTTGATTCTGTAGAGACTCATAATTTCTTTTTCGTTATTTATATTGATAGTTGCCCCTGAAATCTCCAAATCTCCAGTTGATGCCACGAGAGTGGAAGGACAAACTGTTATGTTCAATTGTGTAGTGGCAGGATACCCTACACCTGATGTTGCTTGGACAAAGAATGAAGCGGAATTGAATGTGGCTGCAGATGCGCGACTTAGAGTCTCTTCCAATGATGGAAACCACCAATTGACAATATCAAATGTTCAACAATCGAATGCAGGACAATACAGATGTGTGGCTAATAACAGTTTGGATACTGTGACTTCATTTTCAGCGACCCTAACAGTGCATTGTGAGTCTAAGAGTAATTCCTCTATGAAACGTGCGAGTGTTGAATATTCTTTTTTTTGTTTTGTTTTGTTTTCTTTATTTTTTTCGGTGTTTGTATTTTTTCTCCATAAGTAATTAAGATCATTCGTTTTAGAGACGCTACCAATTTTCAAGATATGCATACGAATTTGCTCTGGATTTGAATGTAACTGCTAAGTAGCTTGATTTAAAATGTTATTTAGTACTTCGATGGATGAATGTATATGTTGGCCACTGGCGCTAATACGTCGATATTATCCATTACAATTTTACTCTACAATTGATATCTGTTCTCTCTATGCCGCTCCATTTCTTGTTCTTGTTCCTTCATAAACCTTTCAGTCCATATTTAAGTTATTTTCACAAATTCAGCACTATCAGGGAAACCTGTCATAAGAGTTTGCAGACTCACAACTAGTCTAGGATTTTTATATGATACCAATTATGCTTGAAAAGTTATATCATTTATACACATAGCATAATAAATAAATAAATAAATAAAAGCACATGATTACGATACAATTATAATTATTAAATCATACTCTAGTTGATCCAGAAGTTACAATCGATGGTGGTAAAGAGAAGATTGTGGCTAAGGGCGACGATATCAAGATAACATGTCGGCACAAGGCGCTACCGCCTGTGATTGAGGTGCAGTGGATAAAAGATGGAGAGGTGATTTCAACAAACTCCACGAAAGTGATAAACAACTCCCGATTGGATATTCTGCACTTCAATGAGAGCATCATACAGTTGTCGCTCAGTGCAGCTATCGTGGCTGATAGTGGGAATTACACTTGCAATGTCACAAATATGGTTGATAGTTCATCAGACTCGACATCTATCATTGTGGAAGGTGTGTAAGAGCTGTTGGCAAATTCGTATTTACCCGTATTTTAGGGTGAGACAGCAATAAGCTGAGATTTCTCTTTACAGACTTCAAAGAGTGAATGAGTTAAATGTGAAATCTCCGGATCGCGAAAGCAAGATTTCGCATGAAGTTCACGAGCTGTTTAGAAAGTGCATATGTAGAAGATGAACAGCAGCTGCTCTATTTGTTTATCTTTAAATATTTGCTGTATACGCATAGTATTAAAGCAACCCGAGACTTTCTTATGAAGTCTATGAAACATTTCGTTTAACGATTTGTTTAGCGGAAATATAGACTGATTACAACACTGAAAAAATAATGGGTGCTTTAGACTTTTTTTTTTCTGTTTCTCCCTATACAGTAAAGCCTTCCATCATTACTCAGCCAAAAAGTACTGCCCCTCAAGAAGGAGACACCGTCAAGTTGTATTGCAACGCTACAGGAAGCCCTATACTGCACATATCCTGGACGTTTGATGGATCTGTTATTAAAGTAAATAAGAACCCCAGGATAAGTTTATCCAATGACTCTCAAGAATTGACGATAACAAATGTGAACAGAGGAGACAGTGGAGATTACCGATGTTTAGTGAAAAACAGGGTCGGAAATGACACTTCTGACCCCTCTGTAATAAACGTGCTATGTAAGTACAGAATTAGCTTGCTTTTCTAAGTCATGAGAGAACGAACTTTTGAGCAGTATCAGTAAGGTATAAGCCAACTTAAGATCGAGAGAAATGTAGTTGAACTAAATTCTTATGTGTGTGTGTGTGTGTATATTTGTACGTATATATACATATATATATATATATATATACACAGTATTGCGCGTAATGGAAGTTTCCAGGTTGTTTACAATATTCTAATATATGGGTCCAAACAGTTTTTCATTTATCAAAAGTGTTTGGACGAAAAGAGTGGGTTTTTTCTGGACACTCTTTGTAATTCTCTTGCTTAAAATAACGTATAACGATTTATTTGTCACAAAAAGAGAAAAGAATAAAAAATTCTTGGATCGATCCTAGAATTGCTTAAGTTTGTGCTTCTGGTTTATTTATCTGTTCATATTTTTCTGTTTACAGATCAACCTGAAATTATTACGCATCCTAAGAACGTTACATCAGAAGAAGGACTCCTCATGACCTTATTTTGTAACGCGACCGGAAATCCACCACCAACACTATCATGGACCAAAGATGGATCTCCTTTAACTAACACTCAAGGGATAATTTTGTCAGGAGACAACGAGACACTGTATATAGCGAAAGTGAACAGATCAGAAAGCGGAAATTACAGATGTGTTGCCAGGAACAGCCTTGGAGATGATATCTCAAATGCTGCAAAAGTCGTCGTACAGTGTAAGTGATCCATCAATATTTTCTGTTTTGCCTAATTTGAAGGAGAAATTCTGGTCATAGTTAAAAGGTGTTAAAAGGTATTTTGTGTGGAGAGGGGGGGGGGGTAGCTATGTCAAATATAAATCAGACATGTTGAACACAATATTTATCTTCATGTTTCGAATTTTCACAAAAATTTTGCAAACTTTAAAAATGGAAAAGAGTTGTTTAGGACCGAAAGTTGAATGTTCGTGCACAGTATTCACAAACAAATATCTGGCTTGTTATTTCAGTTCTCTGTCACGTAATTTTTTCCCCCTTCCTTCAAGAAATCTCATAAAAATCGCTCATTATCACTGATGAGATAGCATTCCTAGGTCTTAGCAGAAATTACAAATCATTTTTTTTATGATTTATCTTTAGTTAGAAGATGAATTAGACACTCAGCGACGAGCATAAAGACCGAAAAAAAAAGGAAGAAGGAGAATTAAAATAACGCAATAGTCTTTGACATCAGTGAAAATTTATGTTTTGACAAATCTAAAAAGCAAAAAACAATAACAAAAAATTACAAGATCTTTGAGATATGCAAAGGAATAAGCCGGTAGCTTTTAAAATTTACAGATTTGAGTTGACAGAGCCTAACGCTTCTGTTTTTTTTAATCTAAGTTGCACCTGAAATTGTGGAAAATCCAGAGGATGCCACCATAGTTGAGGGAGAAGATGTTGTGTTTAGTTGCATGGTAGATGGAAATCCTTCACCAAGATTTACTTGGACGAAGAATGAGGAAAACCTGAATATAACAGCAAATCTACGACTAACAACGTCGTCACTGAACAACAATCACAGTTTGACAATCACAGATGTTCATCGATCGGATTCGGGACAATACAGATGTGTGATTATTAATAGTGTTGCCAACTTAACATCATCTGCGGGGAATCTTAATGTACAATGTAAGTAACTTATAAAAATTTCTTTGACAGTAAAATGATATGAAAATCATCAAAAACTACTTGAACACAAAACCTCCTTTTTCCCAAGAGCACATGCTACAAATCATACATAATAATTATCGTCGTTGGCGAATAATTGTTTTAGTATAATTTTTCAGGTGCTTTCGAATTCTGTTGTAAATATCAGTTTTGATGTTAAAGCCATTCACAAATTGAACTGAAAATTCTAGAAAACAAAATGTATGTATGTGTTAGTCGACTGAACTCCAGAAAACAGCCATTTTTTTTAATGTATTTTTTTGGCATTTTACAAAACATTACTCTACTTACAATACACTACAGAACTCAGTTACAATATGTCACTTACAATAATCCACTGAGGACACACCACGAACAAAGTATAGTTTACAATAAACTTGATTACAGTAGATGACTTACCTTCGATTACTTACACTACCTACACAATGCTCTAAATTTACATTATTTTATGACAGAAAACACCCATACCCATTATGCATTGCACACTAATACGAGTTCATTACATATACAGAAGGTCACCCCTAGATTGTGGATCGATCTTCCGGGCTCTATCAGAAACACCCAATCTTTAAACAAGTTTAAGAACGCTATTAAGACTTTTTTATTTGCAAAAGCTTTTGATTTCTTTGTATCTAATTTTATATTTTTGCATCTTCACAGTGACCATTTTTTTTTTTTAGTTTTTAGTAACTATCAGGGTTGTATTTTTAACTTTTAATTCTAATGCGAATTTGAAAATTCTCATATTGATAATTGCGCGACATGAGTCTATAACTTATTACTAAATTATTATTATAAGGTCACTGAAAGACAAATGTTTGATGTGCTTGAAATTCAAGATAGGTTATTAAAATGATAATAGGCTGGAAAGCACTTCAAATTTTTCTTGCTAATTAAACCATAAACAGTGTAGGCCTCTGAAAGAGGGTTATGGATGTAATTGATGTTGCCAGTACAAGGAAGGCTAAAGACTAAAAAAGACTAAAAAAGACTAAAAAAGTAAGACTAAAGTAAGACTAAAGTAAGACTAAAAAAACACTCAGACTAAATTGCATTTTTTTCTAGTTCCACCTGAATTTATCAGTAGCCCACAGAATGTGACAGTAATAGAAGAGCAAAATGTTAACTTAACTCTGGACTGTACAGTTTATGGAAATCCTACACCAGATGTGAAATGGACAAAAGATGGAATTGACATATCAGAAAATCGAAGGATTAGTGTTTCTGATTTTAAGGGAAACACGTCAAGTTTGACAATTACCAATATTGTGCGAGGGGATGAAGGCCAATATAGATGTGTGGCAAATAACAGTGTAAATAGTACCGTCTCAGCTCCAGGAAAACTGACAGTCAGCTGTGAGTATTACTTTTCAGACTGCAGTATATGAGATATATATTATTATTGGTTGAGTGGAACCTGTAGTAAGTCAGCACATCAGGTACTTGAGACCCTTATACATGTAAGAGTCTTCTCAGAAGACACCCAAAGAAACTTGTAGTGTTTGCTTGATATTGGTCACAGTGTCTGCTTAATCCTTTACCTCCCAGGAGTGATTAATATGTAACTTCTTCCTGTAGTATGAATATGTTATTCAACAAATAGGTATAAGACAACACCAATACTTATCAGGCAGGCCACGGTTGTTCAAAGGTTGGATAACGTTACCCACTCAATAAATCGCTATCTGGTGGTTTGGTAAAATACGTTTCCCTGGCAGTTATCCGCTGGATAGTGATTTATCCGTTGGGATAGTGTTCTCCACTCTTTGAACAACTGGGCCCAGAAGTTTTTATCTTGAACTAGAACCAAATTCTCTCAATCGCATGTAATTTACAAGGAACTGTGCTGCAGCTAGAGAGAAGAATTAAAAAATATATATATAAAGGTTAATGCAGGTTCTAAGTGCACATGTACTCAGCAAAGGTTTTCTTGCTGTTCTATCATCAACACATAAACGTTTATTTTGGGTGTGTCGTGAAAACACTTTTAGTATGCATGTACTGTAGAATGTATCCAAGGATTTGAGAACAAAGATCAAAACTAGAATTCCACTTTGATATGTTTTGGAACCCTCTGTGACAAATTGATGTTTCATGAGCCAATCTGATGCTAGCATAATGCAAGACTGGCGTCAAACCACTTCTCTATTTGCTTTGCATTTCTTGCATTATATGAGATGCATTTGAGATAAAACATTTGGATGATATAGGTAGATAAACTAAAGCGTGGTTTGATTTGGTTTTTTTCCTTGGGGGCTCATCAATATACACTTACAAACAACAAGTAAAAATTTACAGGGATACTACACACCAAATTGTCTAAAAATATAACACATAATTCATAGAAATGTTTCAAATAGATGTACTATACACGTTTGTGGTAACTAACTTGAACAATCTTTATGATTACAGTTAGAGCAGATGTCAAAATAAGTGGCAGTGAACCAAAGTTTGTTGAAATAAACAAACAAATTCATCTGACTTGCCAGTACAATGCTTCGCCGCCGGTGTCGGAAGTACAATGGGTTAAAGATGGAAATGTGATTGCTCGAAATGGTAGTGGTATTGGTAATGGATCGGTGAATGTAACACAGTTCACTGAAAGTCAATCTCAGCTGCTAATTTCATCAAGTACTACACATAATGAGGGAAATTACACTTGCTTCGTCACAAATACTGTTGGCAATTCCTCAGACACAACGTCAGTCCTTATACAAGGTATGTTTTCTGAATGATGCACCGTATATTGATATATTGATATCTCATCACTTTGAGTCAAGTACAGTATGCAGATACTCTTCTCTGTGGGGCTGTTGTTTAGAGTTTACTGGAGTTAATGGATTCTTCATTAACTTTGTTAACTTATATTAAAACTGATTCCATTTTTTTTTTTTTGGATATTTTTTATCCTTTGTAAAAGTTTTAATTTTCTTTAAGAAACACAGTCCCAGGCTCAACTGTCTTTTACTCTTTACACCCTAACATCTGTTAGCTTACTCTCCATACTGTTCACTATACATTTTCTCAGGTGCTGACAAGAGAATTTGTGTAACAAGCAAGAGCTTCTTCTTTCCTTTATTCGTGATCTTAATGTGTCATTAAGGTGTAACTTTGTTAGGAGGAATTCGATTCTAATCACTCTTACAGGTTAAAGGGATAAAGTCACCATTTGGCAGCTTACACTTCTAAATGTTTCTTCCCTCCCTCCCTCCCTCCCTCCCCCCTTCCCCCCTCCTTCCCCCTTCCCCCTCCCTCCCCCCTTCCCCCCCTTCCCCCTCCCTCCCCTTCCCCCCCCCCCCCTCCCTCCCCCTTCCCCTTCCCCCCCCCTCCCCCCTTCCCCCTTCCCCCCTCCCCCCCCTTCCCCTTCCCCTTCCCCCGCAAAAAGAAAGGTCAATTGTTCCAACAGAAAGAGGAAAACCAAGAATTAACCCAATGTGGAAAGAAACAAAAAATTACGAAAAAAAACAGCTGCACATAAATACACTATATCTATGTGTCTCTCTATTCTATTTTAACCATAATTACACCAAATAATGTAGATCTTCAACTAAGCCACATTTGCTGTCAGTTATTGGTAGTTTTGTTTTTTGTTCATTTTCAATGGTCTGTGGTAATTGAGACTGCAACCGCTTGGATATGGGAAAGATTCTCATAAAACGTGGTCTTGCTTATGTTTTGGGGTTAGAGGAGCCTAAAGACAGAACATGCACAAGATGACGGGAGCAGCAACGCAAATTATATTGATAAAATCATTCCAAAAGCTGAACAGTCGATATACAAAAAAACTCGAAATAATTAAGAAGAATGAATTTATTTTCCTGTATCATTAATGTGGAACTTGTCCAATGTAGAACGATTTTAAAACTCTTCATCTATTTGGTGAAATTGCACATTTTAATGAGTAATGAAGTATTGTTTAATTCCACAGTGGTGCCAGACCCACCGCAGACATTGACAGTTGATTCAAAGGGCTCACGGGTGGTGAATATCTCTTGGACAGCTGGTTTTGATGGAAATAGTGCCATTGAGAACTTCACAGTGGAGATCAGTGAAGATAATCAGATCTTTAAGGGTGTTGTTTGTCAGGGATCACTCTCAAGCAGTGCCTGTGTGGTGTCCAGTTTCTCCACAAAAACCTCTCTTACAGGTCTTCTTCCTTGGACGACATATAATATAAGAATGTTTGCGACAAACACAATTGGCCAAAGTAACAGTAGCCATATTCTGAATGTTACCACAGATGAAGAAGGTACATGTATGCTATTTACTCTCTGTATTTCTTCGCTGTGTACGGAAGGAACCACACCGATAATAGCTACCGGAGTATTATGACAGGGGATAAGGGCGTGTAGACTTTTTAGAAATTGTGGTAATTACTTTATGAGGGATATTGTATGCCATGTGTCACAAATTTGTGGAGAAAACTTGTACAACAATCTAAGTGTGTATTAACTGCGAAAGTTTTCCAAGCAGTAGTGAGCAGGTGCTGGTTTATGTACTTTTGTGCGGAAATCAAGCAAACACAATTTTGCTACAATTTTCATGTGTTATATATTGACATACTAAAAGAGTTGTATGTATGTATATATATATACATATATATATATATATATATATATATATATATATATATATATATATATATATATTTTAATTCACTTTGCAGTGCCAAGGGAAGCTCCGACTTTTGATGCGATTATTGTCAATTCAACTGCAGTGAATGTTTCCTGGCAGGTAATTATCAGACGTTACATTTATCTCCGAATGATTTTTTGTTGTTGTTGTTGTTGTTTTAGTATTGACATGTTTTATTTATTCCCTCCACATTTTACAACAAGGAAGGGAGAGTTTCAAACCTGAATTACTAGTTCACACAACTGTTTTGTTAAGTACAGTGTTAAATGCGATAATTACAAGTATGCTAAATGATGCGAAAGTACGTATGATAAGACGAAACTTTAAATCTTGAATACTTCGTTAGTTTTCGAATAACCATGCACGTGTTCGGCTCTCTGCGGGTTTAAATTTGAAATTGCGTAGACTTAGACAAGTAGACAAGTAGACAAGACTCTGCTCTTAATTAACTTGGACAGCAGCTTACTTTTACATGTCGGCGATGTCAACAACGACATTATTTTCAGCTCCCTCCGTTAGATTCTGTGTTGTTGTGTACCATTTAACGTATACATGTCACGGATGACGCGATGTAGCTAGCAAGACCATCGTTTATACCCTTGCCTGTGGCTTCTGTGTCGCGTTTTTAGTTTACAGCTGTAATTTCATTTTAATGACTTTTGAGATCCACTTCAGACTAAGCGTAAGGAAACTCCGACTTAATTTTAATTTTAAAAAAATTGAATCAATAAGTACATGAACTGTTCATGATAGTATAGTACAACAACTGGACGCCCTTAAGTATGTGTAAAAAGTATTTTATTCATCAAATAAATGCTTTTTTTTTAACTTTACAAAACCAGATGCTAAGTAAAGACAAGGCTAGAGGTGCAATCTTGGGCTATTACGTTTTGCACCGGGTTAAAGACACTCCACCCTGGACAAATGAAAGTGTTGATAGAGCCGAAAAGACATCACTTCTAGTAGGATCACTAGATGAACACACTACATACGAGTTTGCCATGCAGGCGTTTAACAGTAAAGGTGTCAGTAATTTAAGTGCTTTGGTCGAAAAGACTACTGACCAGCATAGTGAGTGTTACTTTTACTCATGTTCATCTTTTGTATATAATTGTTTTTCGAACATGACTTTTATGGTTTGTACAATCTCGGACAATGATTATTTGCCGTATAACTTACAGTATAGTTCTTCTCGTGAGATGTTTTTTCATTACTGAACATATAACGAATCGTAGAAGAGATTAGTCACAACGGTAATTGCATTTGTTGTATACCTGTTCTAACGACCCTACTGATAGAGGTGTGCCTCATGGTAATTGGGTATTATCGATTGAGTTGACAACGTAAACTGACCTCCCTAGATAGTTCCAAAGCCAATGTTTCGAGCGTTATCCCTTCGTCAGTGCTCTGGCATGGGGCTAAAACGTCAAAAAAAAGGTCGAAACGTAAGCTTTGAAAATCTATACATGTTATCAATTATAGCCTTATCAACTCAGTTGATAAGGCGAAATTACCCTGTTATACTCTCCCACCGACGCAGCACCACAGTTTCTTTAGAACGCTATCCCCTTTAGTCGTTCTCTCCTCAGTTTGCTTCCCGTAAAAAGTTCATCTACAAGACCTTGCGATAAATTTTCTTTGCTTTCAGAGCCTAGTGGGCCACCACAACCGGTCTCAACTAGTGATGTGACATCTACAAGTATCAATGTATCCTGGGGTCCTGTCCCTGCTGATGATCGAAATGGAATCATCCTAGGATATAAACTAAATTATCGAGCATTACCAAATCAGGGCATCGTTACCGAATTCCTTAATATCAGCAGTGAACAACAGGATGAAGGAGGAACAAAGATATTACAGACTCTGGATGAATTTACCAACTACAGCGTGAGTGTGTTAGCGTTCACTATAGTGGGAGATGGACCCCCAAGCGTTGCCAAGTTTGTGCAAACACTGGAGGACAGTGAGTAAAACTAATATCTTTTCTATTGCGTTACTCTAGGTAGAATGCAATAAATTTTCCTATGTATAACAATGTCCTAGATCTCAAACTGTCAACTAACCTATGTGATGTAAACGAAATTAGCTACCCTCTTACAAAACTTAAGTCGCGCAAGTCCCCCGGGTCTGATCAGCTTTCAATGCTTGTTCTGAAGAAATGTGCAGTCAAGTTAGCGCCTTCTCTTTCATTATTAAACAATTCCTTCGATATTGGCCAGGTGCCGTTGTCGTGGAAAATAACCGTTATTTCCTCTGTCCCCCTTTCTTTTTTCTTTCTTTCTGTTTTTTTTAATATATATGTATATGTATATTTAGGAAGTCTGCAAGTCGATTTTCGCGTGGAACAGTGCTCAATACGTTGAAGCAGAGCAGAATAAATATTATGACAGGAAAAAAGGACGCAACTACTTTTCCCGACAAGCCTGTTTCGTGAATCGCTTCACTCTTCAGGGGTTTAATGGGTTTTAATGGGTTTTAATGGGTTTTAATGGGTTTTATTAAACCCCTGAAGAGTGAGGCGATTCACGAAACAGGCTTGTCGGGAAATGTAGTTGCGTCCTTTTTTCCTCTCATAATATTTATATGTATATTTATATATGAGAAGAGGAAATCCCTTCTGATAAAATATTTGTAATGAGGAATCTACGCGCAATAAGCTATGTTTTTCTTACTTTTCCGAGTTTATCTTCAGTTCTATGCTGCTGTCCCAGCTTATTCTGTTTTCATCCTTTGCTCAGGGTTATTGGGTATTATCAACTGAGTTAACAACGTAAATTGACCTCCGTAAAGAGTTTCAAGGCTGATGTTTCGCGCGTTATTCCTTTGTCAGTGCTCTGATAAGGGACTAACGCCGAAACGTCTTAAGCGTCAAAAGCGTCGAAACGTTAGCTGTGAAACTCTTCATATTGGCCAATTTACGTTGACCAACTCAGTTGACGATACCAAATTACCCTGTGAAGTGTGAAGTGTGAAGTGTGTATAGGAAGGCCTGCGTAAGCCCTATGGCACGTTGTTGTGTAAGAAAAGAATATGATTGGGTTTCTTCAATTCATTTATGGTTTTTTCGGGCTTAATTCGATGTCGGTTCAGGGCCATACCTCTGTATTTCGACTTGTTATCGATTAGAACGTAAAAGCTTCGTCGTAAAACGCTCTCACATGTGCATATTATTTTAGTCTGAACATATCTAACCTATCCTTTAGAGAAGAGTCGAAAGGTCAAAATATGCAAAAGAAAAGAAAAAAGAAAGAAAGACAAAACATTAAAATAAAGGTTGACGTGACCTGAGCACGAACATATTAATTCCGAATCCTTTGGGTGTTTTTTTTTTGTTTTTTTGTTTTTTTGTATCATATATCGAAAGTAATGTACAGTTAAGCAGTTTCCGCAAACGTGTAACTTCTTAAGCTGGAACCTGTTTGACCACTCCTTTCGTATACAAAGTCCGTTACATATGCTTATGGTTCATTTTAGAACCTTCTGCTGCTCCTTTGAATGTGAGAGGACATAACACAAGCTCAACCAGCATCTTTGTAATATGGGATGATGTTCCGGCTGCTGATAAAAATGGTATCATTACGAGTTACAACATCACTTATCACTCACTGACACAGAATCACAGTAACAGTACAACAGTGGATTATCCACATCGTCAAGTGACTCTGATGGGTCTGAGAGAGTTTGTTAACTACAGCATCACAGTGTTTGCTTCCACGGTGAAAGGAAATGGACCTGAAAGCGATCCTGTTATTATCAGTACTGGCGAGGATAGTGAGTAATTTTGCTTTTGGATTAATGTTCCTCGTTACATTTCGGAAATGAGTTCTTATGTGCTTACACAGTTAGGCCCAGCACCAGACCTAATATAGGCAGTGACTATTTTTTTCTTTATGGACATAAGAAAAAAAGGTGGTATCGATTATATCGCTGTTTAAAACAGTTCTTACCTCCTTTATATCAGAACCATCTGCTGCTCCTTTGAATGTGAGAGGACATAACACAAGCTCAACCAGCGTCTTTGTAACATGGGATGATGTTCCGGCTGCTGATCAAAATGGTATCATTACGAGTTACAACATCACTTATCACTCACTGACAGAGAATCACAGTAACAGCACAACAGTGGATCATCCAGATCGCCAAGTTTCTCTGATGGGTCTGAGAGAGTTTGTTAACTACAGCATCACAGTGTTTGCTTCCACGGTGAAAGGAAATGGACCTGAAAGCGATCCTGTTATTATCAGTACTGGCGAGGATAGTGAGTAATTTTGCTTTTGGATTAATGTTCCTCGTTGCATTTCAGAAATCAGTTCTTATGTGCTGACACTGTCCAGTCCAGTGCCAGACCTAATATAGGCTGTAACAATTTTTTTAAGGGACATAAAAAAAGGTTGGTATTGATTATTTCGCTGTTTAAAGCAGTTCTTCCCTCATTTATATCAGAACCATTTGCTGCTCCTTTGAATGTGAGAGGACATAATACCAGCTCAACCAGCATCTTGGTAACATGGGATGATGTTCCGGCTGATGATAAAAATGGTATCATTACGAGTTACAGCATCACTTATCACTCACTGACACAGAATCACAGTAACAGCACAACAGTGGATCATCCAGATCGTCAAGTGACTCTGATGGGTCTGAAAGAGTTTGTTAACTACAGCATCACAGTGTTTGCTTCCACGGCGAAAGGAAATGGACCTGAAAGCGATCCTGTTATTATTAGTTCTGGGGAAGACAGTGAGTAATTTTGCTTTTGAGTTAATGTTCTCTGTTGCATTTCGGAAATCAGTTCTTAACTACCAACACATACTTCTCCAGTACCAGACCTAATATAGGCAGTAACTATTTTTTTTTATATTCATTAAAAAATGGTATTGATTATATCGTTGTTTAAAGCAGTTCTTACCTCATTTATATCAGAGCCACTGACACATATGAGAGAAACGTCGTTTGAATCGGCGTGCTTCTAACTTAGACAATGCTTCATAGTTAATCAGCTCCGGAGATGAAGCTTATCGCTTCCAAACACATTTTCGGTTATATTTGTACTGAATCTCAAGGACCTCTTTCGCAATTGAATGTTCGGACGCATGTCAATACTTTTGCGTACGTTTTTGTACATTAAGTATCCTCTAGGGTCAGCTAAAAACGGAAAGCATGCTTCATGGATTACTCACGGCGTGATGAAGTCACGTAAGAAAAAGAAGAGGCTCAACAAGAAAGCAACAAGATCTGGCCGACAAAAGTCATGGACGCGTGCTGCTCCATAAACAACTTATCAAAAATGCTGGCAACTCTTCCCAGAGGGAACACATTAATAAGATCTCTGAAGATCTAAAGATCTCTGGAACCCGAAATCGTTTTAGAGCTACATCTCATCGGCTAGTAAAGGATCAAACAAGCTAACCTCCCTGAAACTGAATGATGTAACGATGGCAGAGGATTCAGATGTTGCCGAAAACATGAATTTTACATCCGAGGATTATGCAAATATTTTTATGTATAACAATGTCTTGGATCTCAAACTGTCAACTATCCTATGTAATGTAAATGAAATCAGCCATCTTTTAAAAAACTAAACCTGCGCAGGTCCTCCAGTCCTGATTAGATTTCACCGCTTGTACTGAAGGAATGCGTAGTCGAGTTAGCGCCTTGTCTTTGTTCATGATTAGTTTTGGCAGTTCCTTCGATACTGGCCAGGTGCCGTTGTTGTGGAAAATAACCGATCTTAACTTATATATTTCAGAACCTTCTGCTGCTCCTATGAATGTGAGTGGACATAACACAAGTTCAACCAGCATCTTTATCATTTGGAATGATATTCCAGCGGCTGAACAGAATGGTATCATCACAAGTTACAACATCGCCTATCAATCACTGACAGAGAATCACAGTAACAGTACAACAGTCGATTTTCCAGATCGTCAAGTGACTCTGACGGGTCTGAAAAAGTTTGTTAACTACAGCATCACAGTGTCTGCCTCTACGAAGGTAGGACCTGGACCAGCCAGTAAACCCGTTATTGTCAGTACTGGCGAGGATAGTAAGTGATTTTGTTTTTAGTTTGATGTTCGTCGTTGCATGTTAGAAACTTGGCGTTGGTATGAATATTTAGACTAGTTTACAATGGAACGAGATGATGCGAGGCACCTCTTACATTTGAGTTTTTGTTCATTTTTGTGCTTGCTGTGCTTTCGATCTTAAAAGGCCTTTGTTAGCACTATGATACGGTGTTGTGTAAGACAGGAATGTGATTGGGTTTCTTTGAATTCATTTCTGGTTTTGTCGGGTTTAGTTCAATGTCGGTTCAGGGCCCCACCTCTGTATTTCGACTTGCTATTGATTTGAGCTTAAAAGCTTCCTCGTCAAACGTTCTCACATGTGTATATTATTATTTTACTCTGAACATATCAAACCTATCCTTTTAAGAAGAGGGTAAGCTGAAAGGAAAAAATATGTAAAAGTAGAGACAAAACAAAAAAAGACAAAAAAATTAAAAAAAAACGGTTGACCACGCCAAAGTTCGAACCTATTAATTCCAAATCCTATTTTTTTTTTAAATATCATATATCGAAAGTAATGTACAGTAAAGCGGTTTCCGCACACGTGTAACTTCTCAGTCTAAGAACTGTTTGACCACAGCGTATGCAAAGTCCGTTAAATGTGCTTATGGTTCACTTCAGAACCTTCTGCTGCTCCTTTGAATGTGAGAGGACATAACACCAGCTCAACCAGCATCTTTGTCACTTGGGATGATGTTCCAGCTACTGATAAAAATGGTATCATTACGAGTTACAACATCACTTATCACTCACTGACAGAGAATCACAGTAACAGCACAACAGTGGATCATCCAGATCGTCAAGTGACTCTGATGGGTCTGAGAGAGTTTGTTAACTACAGCATCACAGTGTTTGCTTCCACGGTGAAAGGAAATGGACCTGAAAGCAATCCTGTTATTATCAGTTCTGGGGAAGACAGTGAGTAATTTTGCTTTTGAATTAATGTTCTATGTTGCATTTCAGAAATCAGTTCTTAACTACCAACACATACTTCTCCAGTACCAGACCTAATATAGGCAGTAACTATTTTTTTTTTATATTCATTAAAAAAATGGTATTGATTATGTCGTTGTTTAAAGCAGTTCTTACCTCATTTATATCAGAGCCATCTGCTGCTCCTTTAAATGTGAGAGGACATAACACAAGCTCAACCAGCATCTTGGTAACATGGGATGATGTCCCGGCTGATGATAAAAATGGTATCATTACGAGTTACAACATCACTTATCACTCACTGACAGAGAATCACAGTAACAGTACAACAGTGGATCATCCAGATCGTCATGTGACTCTCGTGAGTCTGAGAGAGTTTGTCAACTACAGCATCACAGTGTTTGCTTCCACGGTGAAAGGAAATGGACCTGAAAGTGATCCTGTTATTATAAGTTCTGGCGAAGACAGTGAGTAGTTTTGCTTTTGGATTAATGCTATTCGCTGCATTTCAGAAATCAGTTCTTACCTACCAACACATCCCAGTCCAGTGCCAGACCTAATATAGGTAGTAACTATTTTTTATGGAGAACAAAAAAGAAAGGTTGGTATTGACTATTTCGCTGTTTAAAGCAGTTCTTATCTCATTTATATCAGAACCATCTGCTGCTCCTTTAAATGTGAGAGGACATAACACCAGCTCAACCAGCATCTTTGTAACATGGGATGATGTTCCGGCTGCTGATAAAAATGGTATCATTACGAGTTACAACATCACTTATCACTCACTGACAGAGAATCACGGTAACAGTACAACAGTGCATCATCCAGATCGTCAAGTGACTCTCATGGGTCTCAGAGAGTTTGTTAAGTATAACATCACAGTGTTTGCTTCCACGGTGAAAGGAAATGGACCTGAAAGCGATCCTGTTATTATTACTACTGGCGAGGATAGTGAGTACTTTCGTTTTTGGAGTAATGTTGTTCGTTGCCTTTCAGAATTCAGTTTTTACCTGCTAACACTGTCCAGTCCAGTGCCAGACCTAATATAGGCAGTAACTATTTTTTTCTTTATGGACAAAAGAAAAAAAAAGTTGGTATTCTTTATTTTGCTGTCTAAAACAGTTCTTACCTCGTTTATATCAGAACCATCTGCTGCTCCTTTGAATGTGAGAGGACATAACACAAGCTCAACCAGCATCTTTGTAACATGGGATGATGTTCCAGCTGCTGATAAAAATGGTATCATTACGAGTTACAACATCACTTATCAATCATTGACGGAAAATCACAGTAACAGTACAACAGTGAATCATCCAGATCGTCAAGTGACTCTGACGGATTTGAGAGAGTTTGTTAACTACAGCATCACAGTGTTTGCTTCCACGGTGAAAGGAAATGGACCTGAAAGCGATCCTGTTATTGTCAGTACTGGCGAGGATAGTGAGTAATTTTGCTTGTGGATTATTGTTCTTCGTGTCATTTCAGAAATCAGTTCTTATCTGCTAACACTGTTCAGTCCTAATATAGGCAGTGACTATTTTTTTAAGGACATAAAAAAAGGTTGGTATTGATTATTTCCCTGTTTAAAGCAGTTCTTACCTCATTTATATCAGAACCATCTGCTGCTCCTTTAAATGTGAGAGGACATAACACAAGCTCAACCAGCATCTTTATAACATGGGATGGTGTTCAGGCTGCTGATAAAAATGGTATCATTACGAGTTACAACATCACCTATCACTCACTGACAGAGAATCACAGTAACAGTACAACAGTGGATTATCCAGATCGTCAAGTGACTCTGATAGGTCTGAGAGAGTTTGTTAACTACAGCATCACAGTGTCCGCTTCTACGAACATAGGGCCCGGACCAGCCAGTGATGCTATTATTGTCATTACTGGCGAAGACAGTAAGTGATATGCTACTCGAACATAAAACTCATAGAATTTAGATAATATATAACTTACCGCCAACGTGTAATATTCTCTACATAATGGTCGAAAAATGTCAACTATCCTATGTAATGTACACGAAATTGCCACCCTCTTAAATCGAGCAAGTCCCCCGGGTCTGATCAGCTTCATTGCTTTTACTGAGGGAATGTCCAGTCAAGTTAGTGCCCCCTCTTTCATTATTTAACAATTCCTTCGGTACTGTCCAGGTGCCGTTGTCGTGGATAATAACCGATAGTGTCTCTGTCAATTTTTTTTTCAAATAAAATCCCTATTCCATGGAACCTCCATTAAACGGTTACTCTATATTTAGGTGGTCACCCCAGCATGCCCTGGGGGTGACTGCTTAATTCAGGTTCGACTGTTTTTATGAATGCGAGTCTTCTCTTATTCTCTTTTAGTAAAGGGTGCCGCTATCGCATAAGTTATTTTGAGAAAACAGCAAAACACAATTTTCACCATATCATCATTTCCCATAGCCAGTTTAATACTTGAACGAATCTTATCATTTCTTTGTATTGCCTTTAGATCCCGGTGGCCCACCACAAGCTGTCGCAATGTATGCTGTATCTTCTACAATTGTCTCTGTTTCATGGAATCCTGTTACTGCTGATGATCGAAATGGAATCATCAAAGGATATAAAGTGAATTATCAAGCCTTACCAAATGGTGAAATGGTCGCCAAGTTCAGCAATATCAGCAGTCAGCAACAGAATAAAACACAATCAGTGACTTTAGATAATCTGAATGAGTTTACAAACTACAGCATTAGAGTGTTAGCATTCACTTTAGTTGGAAATGGACCAGCAAGTGTTGCCCAGGTTGTGCAGACACTAGAAGACAGTAAGTTTTAAGTTTTGAAGTCCTTTTAAGTTTTATGCAAGCATCTGTGCTTTTATTTTTGCTGAAACAGCTGTTGTGTTCGTTTCTGCCTCGTACACACCATAGAGAGTAATGTATGTGTAAGAGGTGGCTAGAGAAGACTTTACACCGTATGATCTCGCGGGAGACAGAGAGAGAATAATAATGTACACCTTGTTTAATGGTTTAACACGTAATACAAGCGGGTATTTTGCGAGTTGCGTAGTTTTTTTTTGCGCGTGAGGAAAACTTCGAACAATAAGCAGGTAATGCGTGCGCTTATAATCAAACTTTTTCTTACAGTTTATTTGCATTTGGAATGAATGCAATGATTTTACATGACACAGACTTTATATCTTCTGTTAAGGCCGTCATGATCGAAGATCTAATGAGAAGTGGAAATCCTTTTGACATAATATTTGTAATAAGGAATCCTGGTGCAATTAGCTATAGTTTTCTTAATTGTCTGAGTTTATCTTCAGTTCTGGCAAAAATTGACGCTTTACCAGCTTATTTTATTTTCCATCCTTTGCTTAGGATAGTTGGGTATTATCAAATGAGTTGACGACGTAAATTGACCTCCGTAAAGAGTTTTAAAGCTGACATGTCGAGCGTTATCCCTTCGTCAGTGCTCTGACAAGGGGCTAACGCCGAAACGTCTAAAACGTCAAGACGTCAGCTTTGAAACTCTTTATATTGGCCAATTTACGTTATCAACTCAGTTGATGATACCAAATTACCCTGTTATACTTTCCCACCGAGACAGCACCGCAGTTTCTTCAAAAAGCTATCCCCTTTAGTCGTTCTCTCCTCAGTTTGCTTCCCGTAAAAAGTTCATCTACAAGACCTTGCGATAAATTTTCTTTGCTTTCAGAGCCTAGTGGGCCACCACAACCGGTCTCAACTAGCGATGTGACATCTACAAGTATCAATGTATCCTGGGGTCCTGTCCCCGCTGATGATCGAAATGGAATCATCCTAGGATATAAACTAAATTATCGAGCTTTACCAAATGGTGGCATCGTTACCGAATTCCTCAATATCAGCAGTAAACAACAGGATGAAGGAGGAACAAAGACGCTCCAGACTCTGAATGAATTTACAAACTATAGCATTGATGTGTTAGCATTCACTATAATAGGAGATGGACCACCAAGCGTTCCCAAGTTTTTGCGAACACAGGAGGACAGTAAGTTGAACTAATATCCTCTCTCTATTGTGTTACTCAAGGTAAAATGTAATACAATGTGATTAAAGCGTAGAATGTACATAGTGTAATTACGTCTGACTCCCTCAGGATACTCAAAGCACGTATTGTAAATACACTGTGATCTGATGAGGAAAATCTATGCTGTAACTTGCAAATGTTAAAGTGACTGACCCAATTCATTTTAGACATTTTGTACTAACGTCTTCCTTCAAATTGATGGATTCGAATGAAATCAGAAAAAAACGATTGAGACACATATGAGAGAAACTTCTTTGAATGGGCGTGCTTTTAACTTAGACAATGCTTTATAGTTAATCAGCTCTGGATATGAAGCTTATCGCTTCCAAACGCCTTTTCGGTTATATTTGTGTTGAATCTCAAGGAGCTCTTTCGCAATTGAATGTTCGGACGCATGTCAATACCTTTGCGCAAGTTTTTGAACATTAAGTGTCCTCTAGGGTCAGCTAAAAACGGGAAACATGCTTCATGGATTACTCACGGTTTGATGAAGTCATGTAAGAAAAAGAGGGGGCTCAACAAGAAAGCAACAAGATCTGGCCGACAAAAGTCATGGACGCGTACTGCTCCATAAACAACTTATAAAAAATGTTGGCAACATTTCCCGGAAGGAACATATTAATAAGATCTCTGAAGATCTAAAGATCTCTGGAACCCGAAATCGTTTTTGAGCTACATCTCATCGGCCAGTAAAGGATCAAACAAGCTAACCTCCATGAAACTGAATGATGTAACGATGGGAGAGGATTCAGATGTTGCCCATAACATGAATTTTACATCCGAGGATTATGCAAATATTTTTATGTATAACAATGTCTTGGATCTCAAACTGTCAACTATCCTATGTAACGTAAATGAAATCAGCCAGCATTTAAAAAACTAAACCTGTGCAGGTCCTTCAGTTCTGATTAGATTTCACCATTTGTACTGAAGGAATGCGTAGTCGAGTTAGCGCCTTGTCTTTGTTCATGATTAGTTTTGGCAGTTCCTTCGATACTGGCCAGGTGCCGTTGTCGTGGAAAATAACCGATCTTAACTCATATATTTCAGAACCTTCTGCTGCTCCTATGAATGTGAGCGGACATAACACAAGCTCAACCAGCATCTTTATCATTTGGAATGATATTCCAGCGGCTGAACAGAATGGTATCATCACAAGTTACAACATCACCTATCACTCACTGACAGAGAATCATAGTAACAGTACAACAGTCGATTTTCCAGATCGTCAAGTGACTCTGACGGGTCTGAAAAAGTTTGTTAACTACAGCATCACAGTGTCTGCCTCTACGAAGATAGGACCTGGACCAGCCAGTAAACCCGTTATTGTCAGTACTGGCGAGGATAGTAAGTGATTTTGTTTTTAGTTTGATGTTCGTCGTTGCATGTTAGAAACTTGGAGTTGGTATGAATATGGAACGAGATGATGCGAGGCACCTCTTACATTTGAGTTTTTGTTCATTTTTGTGCTTGCTGTGCCTTCGATCTTAAAAGGCCTGTGTAAGCACTATGATACGGTGTTGTTTAAGCAAAGAATGTGATTGGGTTTCTTTGAATTCATTTATGGTTTTGTCGGGTTTAGTTCAATGTCAGTTGAGGGCCCCACCTCTGTATTTCGACTTGCTATTGATTTGAGCTTCAAAGCTTCGTCGTCAAATGTTCTCACATGTGTATATTATTATTTTACTCTGAACATATCTAACCTATCCTTTAAAGAAGAGGGTAAGCTGAAAGGAAAAAATATGTAAAAGGAAAGGCAAAACAAAAAAAGACAAAAATTAAAAAAACGGTTGACCACGCCAAAGCTCAAACCTATTAGTTCCAATTCGAAAGTAATGTACAGTAAAGCGGTTTCCGCAAACGCGTAACTTCTCAGGCTGAGAACTGTTTGACCACTGTGTATGCAAAGTCCGTTAAATGTGCTTATGGTTCACTTCAGCACCTTCTGCTGCTCCTTTGAATTTGAGAGGAAATAACACAAGCTCAACCAGCATCTTTGTAACATGGGATGGTGTTCCGGCTGCTGATAAAAATGGTATCATTACGAGTTACAACATCACCTATCACTCACTGACAGAGAATCACAGTAACAGTACAACAGTGGATTATCCAGATCGCCAAGTGACTCTGATAGGTCTGAGAGAGTTTGTCAACTACAGCATCACAGTGTCCGCTTCTACGAACATAGGACCTGGACCAGCCAGTGATGCTATTATTGTCATTACTGGCGAAGACAGTAAGTGATATGCCACTTAAACATAAAACTCATAGAATTTAGATAATATATAACTTATCGCCAACGTGTAATATTCTCTAGATAATGGTCGAAAAATGTCAACTATCCTATGTAATGTACACGAAACTAGCCACCCTCTTAAATCGAGCAAGTCCCCCGAGTCTGATCAGCTTTCATTGCTTTTACTGAGGGAATGTCCAGTCAAGTTAGTGCCCCCTCTTTCATTATTTAACAATTCCTTCGGTACTGTCCAGGTGCCGTTGTCGTGGATAATAACCGATATTGTCTCTGTCAATTTTTTTTTCAAATAAAACCCCTATTCCATGGAACCTCCATTAAACGGTTACTCTATATTTAGGTGGTCACCCCAGCATTCCCTGGGGATGACTGCTTAATTCAGGTTCGACTGTGGTTATGAATGCGAGTCTTCTCTTACTCTCTTTTAGTAAAGGGTGCCGCTATCGCATAAGTTATTTTGAGAAAACAGCAAAACACAATTTTCACCATATCAACATTTCCCATAGACAGTTTAATACTTGAACGAATCGCATCATTTCTTTGTATTGCCTTTAGATCCCGGTGGCCCACCACAAGCTGTCGCAATCTATGCTGTATCTTCTACGAGTGTCTCCGTTTCATGGAATCCTGTTATTGCTGATGATCGAAATGGTATCATCAAAGGATATAAAGTGAATTATCAAGCCTTACCAAATGGCGAAATGGTCGCCAAGTTCAGCAATATCAGCAGTCAGCAACAGAATAAAACACAAACAGTGACTTTAGATAATCTGAATGAGTTTACAAACTACAGCATTAGAGTGTTAGCATTCACTTTAGTTGGAAATGGACCAGCAAGTGTTGCCCAGGTTGTGCAGACACTGGAAGACAGTAAGTTTTAAGTTTTTAAGTCCTTTAAAGTTTTATGCAAGCATCTGTGCTTTTATTTTTGCTGTAACAGCTGTTGTGTTCGTTTCTGCCTCGTACACACCATAGAGAGTAATGTATGTGTAAGAGGTGGCTAGAGAAGACTTTACACCGTATGATCACGCGGGAGACAGAGGGAGAATAATAATGTACACCATGTTTAATGGTTTAACACGTAATACAAGCGGATATTTTGCGAGTTGCGTATTCTTTATGCGCGTGAGGAAGACTTCGAACAATAAACAGGTAATGCGTGCGCTTATAATCAAACTTTTTCTGACAGTTTATTTGCATTTGGAATGAATGCAATGATTTTACATGACACAGACTTTATATCTTCTGTTAAGGCCGTCATGAGCGAAGATCTAATGAGAAGTGGAAATCCTTTTGACATAATATTTGTAATAAGGAGTCCTCGTGCAATTAGCTATAGTTTTCTTAATTGTCTGAGTTTATCTTCAGTTCTGGCAAAAATTGACGCTTTACCAGCTTATTTTATTTTCCATCCTTTGCTTAGGATAGTTGGGTATTATCAAATGAGTTGACAACGTAAATTGACCTCCGTAAAGAGTTTTAAAGCTGACGATTCGAGCGTTATCCCTTCGTCAGTGCTCTGACAAGGGGCTAACGCCGAAACGTCTAAAACGTCAAGACGTCAGCTTTGAAACTCTTTACATCGGCCAATTTACGTTATCAACTCAGTTGATGATACCAAATTACCCTGTTATAATTTCCCACCGAGACAGCACCGCAGTTTCTTCAAAAAGCTATCCCCTTTAGTCGTTCTCTCCTCAGTTTGCTTCCCGTAAAAAGTTCATCTACAAGACCTTGCGATAAATTTTCTTTGCTTTCAGAACCTAGTGGGCCACCACAACTGGTCTCAATTAGCGATGTGACATCTACAAGTATCAATGTATCCTGGGGTCCTGTCCCCGCTGATGATCGAAATGGAATCATCCTAGGATATAAACTAAATTACCGAGCTTTACCAAATGGTGGCATCGTTACCGAATTCCTCAATATCAGCAGTAAACAACAGGATGAAGGAGGAACAAAGACGCTCCAGACTCTGAATGAATTTACAAACTACAGCATTGATGTGTTAGCATTCACTATAATAGGAGATGGACCACCAAGCGTTCCCAAGTTTTTGCGAACACAGGAGGACAGTAAGTTGAACTAATATCCTCTCTCTATTGTGTTACTCAAGGTAGAATGTAATACAATGTGATTAAAGCATAGAATGTACATAGTGTAATTGCGTCTGACTCCCAAAGGATACTCAAAGTACGTATTGTAGATACACTGTGATCTGATGAGGAAAATCTATACTGTAACTTGCAAATGTTAAAATGACTGACCCAATTCATTTTAGACATTTTTGTACTAATGTCTTCCTTCAAATTGATGGATTCGAATGAAATCAGAAAAAAAGGTTTGAGACAGATATGAGAGAAACGTCGTTTGAATCGGCGTGCTTCTAACTTAGACAATGCTTCATAGTTAATCAGCTCAGGGGATAAAGCTTATCGCTTCCAAACACATTTTCGGTTATTATATTTGTATTGAATCTCAAGGAGCTCTTTCGCTATTGAATGTTCGGACGCATGTTAATACTTTTGCGTAAGTTTTTGTACATTAAGTGTCCACTAGGGTCAGCTAAAAACGGAAAGCATGCTTCATGGATTAATCACGGCTTGATGAAGTCGTGTAAGAAAAAGAAGGGGCTCAACAAGAAAGCAACAAGATCTGGCCGACAAAAGTCATGGACGCGTACTGCTCCATAAACAACTTACTAAAAATGCTGGCAACTCTTCCTGGAGGGAACACATTAATAAGATCTCTAAGATCTAAAGATCTCTGGGACCCGAAATCGTTTTAGATCTACCTCTCATCGGCCAGTATAGGATCAAACAAGCTAACCTCCCTCAAAGTGAATGATGTAACCATGAGAGAGGATTCAGATGTTCCCGAAAACATGAATTTTACATCCCATGATTAGGTTATCCGTCGTGTTTCCGGAACGGTTTAACATGTTTCTGCCACGTTTCCGTTTACGGATTCTTGCAATTTCGTCCTGTGCTTAGACTACTTCCTTGGAAAACAAAGTATCTTACGTTCTTTCTGTGTAATTCAGAGCCTTCTGCTCCTCCCACGAACGTCGCTGGACAAAGCATCAACTCAACCAGCATCTCAGTCACGTGGGATGAAGTTCCAGCGGCTGAACAGAATGGTATCATCACAGATTACAATATTAGCTATCACTCACTGACAGAGAAACACAGTAGCAGTGCAACAGTGGATTATGTCGCCCGCCAAATGACTCTGACTGGTCTAAGAGAGTTTGTTAACTACAGCATCACGGTGTTTGCATCTACAGTAGTGGGAAACGGACCAGCCAGTAATCCTATTATTGTCAGTACTAGCGAGGACAGTGAGTAATTTTGCTTTTAGTTCGATGTATTAACATAATATTTCAGATGATAACGAGAGAAAGAAATGTAAGTCACATTTTATCCCCTTCCTTCAAAGGGATAAAGGGACAGAGAAAATGATAAAAGCTAAAAGTGAATGAAACAAAATGATAATCTATGATGGTTTGGCAATATCTGGTGGTAAGATAGAGTCAATCATTTATTGTATACAAGATATATACAAACTTTGCTTATTCATTTTAGAGCCTTCTGCTCCTCCTGCCAATATACGAGGACATAACACCAGCTCAACCAGCATCTTAGTAGAGTGGAGAGAGGTTCCCCCAGCAGATCAGAATGGCGTCATTTTAACTTACACCATTAGTTATCAATCACTGACACAGAATGACATCCGTAGTAAAACAGTGGCTTCTACAACAAAAATATTGAATCTAACAGGCTTGAAGAAGTTTGTTTACTACAACATCACATTGTTTGCATCTACGGTGAAAGGAAATGGAAAAGCCAGCGATCCTATTTTAGTTATTACTGACCAGGATAGTGAGTGGTATTTTTTCTCTCTCTCTCCTTTTTTTTTTTTTTTCTCGGTTGATCAGTCATTTTCAGATCCGGAAGGGTGTTAACTGAACCCTTCTTTTTGTTATGGCAAGGCTGCGACCATTCTGAATTACCCAAACCTTTATTAAGAGAGGGAAACACCGGAACCCTCTTTAACACTTCTGAAATATTTAGATTCCTGTCTCGTGAACTTTCCTTTCAGAACCTTCTGCTGCTCCTTTAAATGTGAGAGGACATAACACTAGCTCAACCAGCATCCTAGTAGAGTGGGACGATGTTCCAGCTTTTGATCAGAATGGTATCATCACGAGTTACAAAATTACTTACCAGTCACAATCAGAGAATCACAATGGGAGTGCTATAGCTGGCCCCATTGAACGTCAAAAGGAATTAACAGATCTTAGAGAGTACGTCAACTACAATATCACAGTACGTGCCTCGACTTCGAAAGGAGATGGACCAAATAGTAGTCCTGCTATTGTTTTTAGAACAGACCAGGATAGTAAGTAGTGTTCTTGAACAACCCATCTAGTCCACGTTTAAGACTGATGTTTGTGTTTACCTTCCAGTTATAGCTTTTTAAGTCGAAAGGAATGTAAAGTGGGTCTTTAAAGAAAGTAATTGCTGTGTGTTATTACAATGTGGAAGACAAAAATAATATGAATAAGAAGACCCCTTTCCTCAAGCTAAGTTTTTTTAAATTCAAATCTCGGAAAGATCGGAAATGAACATTGACTTGTAAGTTATCTTACTTTACCTTTTTTATGGGCGTCTTATTATTCAGCTTTATTTCAAAAGTTAGACAACTTGAGAAATTTGGAAATCTCGCGGTAAATAGGGCGCTATGGCGCTATTGTCGTCCCTTTTCAAGAAACTTAACGCTTCGAAGAGGCTACTCTATAACGTGTTCTTTGTAGTTCCCCTTCAAACAAAGTCCCTAAGTTATGAACAGACGTTTCTTTTTTCTTTAACTTCAAGTTACCACTCAAATATTGAATGCTGTTTCCTAATCTTTCTGCTGAGAACCGTTTGCATCTTCTGATTTGAAGGATTAATTAGGTTAGCCTTAAGTGTTAATGTGACAGTCTGACCGATGACCTTAGAGAAAATCAAGTTCAAAAAAGTTAATTTTTTTGCTGAGAGTCAAAGTAACTAATCCAGTTTTAGTGCGGATTGTAATAGAATCTCTTAATATGTCTCTCTCTCGGGTTAAGAGCCACCTTTGACTGTGATGAACTTTATCTTTTTTTAGCATACCAAAAATTTTGTAAATTTCGTCAGTTCTAATCTTTATCAATCCTCGCCATCTGTTATAATCTTTGTTTTTCTTTTGGGTTTTTTCTTACCCTTTGGTGTTTTTTTGAAGCAAAACTATCTCTTTCAAAATATCCATTAATTTGCTTTACGAACGCAACTCTATGACCCAGCAAATGGCTTTCATTATCTTAACGAAACGCCGCTAACATGATAAAGATATGAAATGAATTTTTTACCAACGATTTTTAGGACCCAGTGGGGCCCCTTTGAACTTACGTCCAATCAATACGACTTCAACAAGCATATTTGTCATGTGGGATGAGGTTTTGCCTGATGAACAGAATGGTATCATAATTAGTTACAACGTCAGCTATCGGGCGATACCAGAAGCTGGATCTGCTGGGCCCTTTTTTTCGAAATTAGTTACGGCTCCAACAAGGCACGTGAACCTGACCGGCCTAACAAAGGATATGCATTACAACGTCAGTGTGTTGGCCTCTACAATCAAGGGCAAAGGGAGTTACAGTAACCCAGAGACGTTTAGAACAAACGAAGACAGTAAGTCCGTATTTTTCAATAATGTGACCTTTGAAAATAAACTCACGCGATATAGCTTTCTGTTGATAATTACAAGTTGCGACGACATCAAAAAGATCAGGTCGGGTCCACTCTTTTTTCTTATGAATACAGTCACATACTGGTTAAATCCAGCGGGAGATGTACGATTGGGGAGTGATACCATGTATGTGGAAAAATATTTTTGTCAGGCGGGACTTACCTACACCGAAGCCAATAGTAATGGCTTCTTAGCTACGGAACCTTGAGAAAATCTATTTTTCTTGACCCTTCTTACTAAGATCGAACATGCTTTGATGCTATCTCTATCAATCTATCAGAGGCGTGCTATTTCACGCATTTCACCAGATTAAAATCTCTTGTTGAATATCACACAAGTCAATATGATAGCAAGTACGATTTACCTCCTAGCAGCCAGAGAGACAAAATCGCAAGTCAGGTGTTTAATTTTTGACCACCAGATAGTGTTGGACATTAATCACCACTTCGGTGACAAATGTTTTTAATTTTCCACCTCTTGGTCTTTACGTAGGGCCCGGTGCACCTCCTCAGAATGTACAAGGTTATAACACCAGTTCGACTAGCATTAATGTTACATGGAATGAGGTGCTGGAGGAGAAACAGCATGGTGATATAATCCGCTATACTGTCATGTACAAAAAAATGGGAAATGTGACTTACGAGTCAGTTAAAGTTACACCAATATCTGGAAACTTTGTTGAGTTAAGAAGGCTTAATAAGTTCACATTCTACGACATCAAGGTTTCAGCTTCTACCCGTACAGGGAATGGACCAGCAAGTAATCCCATTAAAGTCCAAACAGACGAAGACGGTAAGTAAAAAAGGCATTCGGTAGGTCCCTCAGCGGCCAGAACTGTGGAAAAAAAACTGAATATTCTATAATTTATAAATCTATATTTGCTATGGGTCGAGTTATCATACGAATTGGGGTCAGGAAATTCAGTATCAGTCATTAAATGCGACATTTCTGCAATAATCGATGGTGGAGGTGTCCAGAATACCAAAATAGCCCCATGCCCTTAAAAATTGTGATTTTTCAGGACCTCAAATAGCAATGATGGATTAGTTGTCATTTGTGAGGTGTTTAACAGTCTGTAACAAAGAATGAAGGAAGTGTGGAATTTGCCTTTTGCCTTGCGGTTTATAAAGAGAGACGCAGTGGCGGTGAACAAGTTTCGTTATTCGAACCCCCACCGATATTAGTGAAATTAGCTTTTGAGAAAGGTTAGTAACCTGCGATAAGCCCGCATTTCCTCCTCAGAAGAAGCAATACTCCTTGTAGTCTGATGCCGGAGAAATCGGGGTGAGTGCAACAACTTTTGCATTCGCTATGTAGCTTGTGTTGATAAAAGCTCCCCTTTTCTCCTGTTAAGGAATCAATTTATCACTCGTTAGCCTGAAAGCTTTTCCGGTTATTACCCATAATAGATGCGAGAAAAAAAAATAATTTTGGATATCTTGTCTTTGTTACAGTGCCTTCTGCGGCTCCTGAATTAGTGTCTGTACAAACACTGAACAGCACTAGCATACGAATTGAATGGTTGGCGGTTCCTGAAGAATCCATATACGGGATTCCGACCAGATACACCATTTACTACGCAAACTCCGATGGCAAGGTGTATACCAAGGTTGTAAGGCCAGTCAATGTTCAGAATACATACCAAGAAGTTGTTTCTGGTCTTAAGGAATCTACTGAGTATTCATTCCAAGTTTCGCTTTCAACTGCAAAGGGGGAAGGTCCCCTAAGTGTGTCCAAATCTTCTGCAACCAAAGGTGGATGTAAGTGGTCCAAAAAGTATTATTTCATAGCATTTGTAATGTTATCAATGACAAAGCATTTTGACTCGTCTCGTTTGAAATTTTAAAGTGCTACTTTTTCACACGGCTTTTAAGCTATCGAAGAAAATTAGAGAGTGTGCTTTTACTCTTATAAAAGTGCTCACTCTAAAACCTTCCGTAAGTGCCACTTCACGACTCTTTGAAGTCCCCTCTTCCCAAGATTCCGAAGAGTGTGCACTTCAAGACTCGTTTAAGTGAAATGTACTTAAAAGAGTTTGAATGAAAAACTTTCTAAAATGCGCACTATATGATAACTTACAGCGCGCTTTATAGAAGAAAAAAATTGTGGTGCGTACTTTAAAGACATTTTAGAGTACAAACTTCGAGACTCTTAAAAGACATCTTGAACTTCAAAGTGAAGGTTTCTTTTAGGTGTAATGAACCTTAAATCAGGCTCGGGAGCGTTCCGTTTCCTGTAATGAGTGCACTTAAAGACATTTTCAAGTGCGCTATTTTAGGCTTTAAAGAGTGCACACCTCAATGCTCTTTGAGTTGCTCACCCTAAGACACTTAAAAGTGTGTATTTTAAGGCTGCTTAAAGTGCACACTTTAGACATCTGAAGATTCTCGCTTTAAGACTCCTTGTGGTCGTAGATGAGGACACCTTAAAGTGCGAATTCAAGGATTCTTTAATTCCAATTAAACATGTTTTTGATTAACCAGGATCAAGAACGTTTACGGGTTGATATTGGTGTTAAGCATGCTTTGCAGTGTTCTAATGTCGTCTGATTTCTTAACACCTCACTGTCTGCATAACTGGGTTGTAACGAAATTTCCACTGATCTGAGGTAAGTACACTTTTCAAAAATAATACTCCATGTTGCGTGATGTATTTCAGTGCTGAAAAACATTCTTGTTTTCTGTTTACGTTTATTTATGTGGGTGGATTATACCCGCTTAGAAAACATATCACGACGTACTTTTTATTTGCTTGAAAGAATGGTAATGAAATTATGATACTGAACACGCTTTAAGATTGTTAAAATAAACAGAGCTGTTTGGAAGTTGTCTTCAAATGAGCTGATTATTTGACAGTACTTAGCGATCCAGTGCCTACAGCAGAAAAAGAAGGACATGTACGCTTGAAGAGAAGAAAGGTAACAACTTACTGTGGGCAGGAGCACGTCACTTCGTAATAATCATATGAACAGCGTGTTTACAGCAGGTAACTCATCTTTATTTAGTTTTAAAGTGCAGGAAACTGATCGAAGCCGTCACTGCAAAGGAATGTTTCTATTATGTTACACTGTGTTTTCCTGTAATCTGCAGACCTGACTAAAAATTCTTACAGATGAAAAAAAAAAGTGTGAGTATAGTCGACTTTCAACTTTTTCTGAGATTGTAAGAAAACGAAATAAACCACCAGAAAGATTTCTTCATTGGAAGAGGTTTTGTGAGAAAATGAAATAAATATACACATGTAGACTATATGTGTGTTTATTTATGGGTAGCCCAAATAAGAAATCAATTAATACCGTATAAAGGTTTTCTCATTATTGTCTGCATGGTGAATAGGAGTAAACTCATTCCAGTATTTTGGAAGGTTTCCTAACATCATCTTTGTCACGCTTTACCTTCAAACGAATTACCCCGCAGTTTTGACAGTCACAAATGCATATACAGCTATTTTGATAAAATTTTTTTGCAAAAAAAATCTTTAAGTCCACGCGACAAACCCGAGAGGTATTGTCTGTAATTAACAAGTCACGGTTCGTGGACCTCAGGATTTCAAGGAGATCTGAGTAAACGTCGCTGTAAGTACGATGCATTACTTTTTTTGGATGAATTTGCATACTTATTTGACTTATTGAATTATTACCGGATAACCATATTTCCTTTCGAGATTGTCCCTTGCACTCCTGTTTTTTCAAACACATGACCTTTCTCGCAACAGCTGTATATGAAATAGTCATAAATGGTCATACGTGGTCTTAAATGAACCTTATGCACCTAAAGTTGTTTACTTTATTTTCCTTCAGGGAAGAAAGATTTTCAAGGAGCAGTTATGACCGGACAGGTTATCAGATCAGTTTGCCAACCAATTGGGCTTTGATAGAACTTAATAAATTAGATAACATGATCTTTGCGATGTTACAAATGAAACAGAAATGAATTCACATAAAAGCACTTGTCAGCAATACCTCTTTTGTACAATAACTTCGATATTTCAGCCTGACCCGAATCTTATCCGAACAATCCGGGCTGCAAAGTTAGAGGAAAAACTCAATACATTTTCACCAGTATGGCCTTCAAAAGATGCAAAATCATATAATGGCATGGTAGAGCTCAGTGGATTCAACATCCATACTAGAACTGATACGGACGTCAATAAAGGCCAGGAATCCAAACAGTGAATTTTATAATCACGTGGTATGGTCAGGGCATTGCGTTCCCAAGTGTCCCTATTCACTTCCTTTTTTTCTTTCTTTCTTTCTTTTTTTCCTTATTATTAGGGAAGCTTGTGGATTAACTCTCACAGGAAGAGGTTCTGAGGTAAGTAATCGTTAAAAGTGTTAAGGCAAGATAAGGACGGTGAACAGAAATGAATTAGTGTCTTACTTACATTTGTGCCCAGCTGACTTTTTTCTTTGGGGTGTAATGCGTACACCTCGCGCCTCCCTCCCCTCCGCCCTCTTTATACTTATGAACGGGGGGACACATGAGATGGCTAAATGAGTCAAAAAGAAAAAAAAATTAAAACAAAACACAAAACACATACCATCGACAAAACACAAAATACCAAACACGAAACGCAAACCAAAACAAAATCAAATAAGAGAATTAAACGAGGCTAACTTTGAAATTTTGCAGAGTCGTCAGGGGCACGAGAAGTGGCGTCCATGTGCTGTGCAGTCTTGCACCTATCGTATAGCTTGTTGTGCAACTTGGTACCTGAGAAGCTCGCTGATTGCTCTAACTACTGATCACTTGGGTGGCAATTGTTTCTCTCTTGACCTCTGACGCTCCCAATTTAATTTTGTACTTAAGTGATAATTTTTATCCCACTGACTCTTTTTAATTAGTCTTATGATAATTGATCTCGGCACCCGCACGCAAAACATTTCTTTGAGTGTGTACTAAAAAGTTTGAGGTCAATGACTATCGATTTCGAAAAAATATTTGACACTCAAAAAGGCGTTTACAATAAAGGATGAGATTTTACGGCTTCCTGGGCACACGCAGACATGATAACCATTATAAGCACGTGGTGAATGATGGAGGCTACCCACGATAAGCGTAAAGATTTACAATTTTTTGTTTGCGAATTCTCCCGTATTTTTCAATTACTCTGAACGTGAAGTGATATTTAAGCTTGTTTAGGCTCCTTGTCTACTCGTTGCCAGACTGTAAACTGGATTTTATTCTTATTACGCTCGCTTATTTAGTTAAGATCTTTAAAAATTTTGCTGGTCTGTATGTAAGCTTGTGATATCGGGAAAATAAAACTGATTTAAAGCATATGTTTTTAATTCTCGTTATACATATACCTAATAAACCAGTTACTGCATAGAAAGTGCTTTGCACGGATTTTTATTCACTCTTTGCAACTCGTCAACTTGGTTATCGATTTGGAAAAAGTGGTGTTTAGAGAAGGGAATTGTCAAGGATCCCGCTTAACACTTTGCCCGAGCGATTCTAAGCCGAAATTTAAAACAAACATGGTTAAACCTCGCAAACGACGATTCCACTCCATCGAAAGTGATTCGGACACAGACTGAACAATTCCTTTAACTGTTTAGCCGGACTTTGAACTTTTTTGCGCCTTATAGATGTGATGATATCATTGTATATTACTCTTTTGATCGTACGCGGTTGTTTTGACCGAATGCACAGGTTTGAATAAATTATTTTTGCACCTGACGTGCGCGCTTTGCTTCCGCGTAATTATGATAAGCTATCTCATAATTTTTTTTATGCGTATTATTAATACATAATCACAGATTTTTTCTCCTGCAGTTTGGAATAAATAAGCACTTGTGAATATTTTAAAAGACCACAAATTGCACTCGCTCCACGGGCTTGTGCAATTTTGTTAGTTTTTGAAAAAATTTACTGCTTATTTATTCCAAATCGCACTCGAAATCATGTGATTTCCTATGCAAACGATCAAATTTTTATGGTCCTAAAAGCTTTTGATTGACTTCGTCTTCTTGATTCGTATTATATGTAATAAGAGAACGTTGAAAAACAGCGTATTTTGTCTCGTCGTCAAGCTTGCCATTAAAATACTTTGTGAAGTCTAAACGGAAAAGAAAAAGTATGGCCCAGAACACTAAAATTAAATGTAAGAATTGATAATCAAGTAAAATAGCAGAGGAGCCGAAGAACCCACCTCCAACATTCCTAACAAACCTTAAGATCTTTCTAATAAAAGGGTAATTAGTGTTAGCAACTGAGTTAACGACGTGAATTGGCCACTGTAAAGAGTTTAAAAGCTGACGTGTAGAGCTGACGTGTAGACCTTCGCCATTCACTCTGACGAAGGGCTAACACTTTGAAACCCTTAACGGTGGCCAATTTACGTCTTCAACTCATTTGATAATACTTATTACCCTGTTATATTCTCCCACTGACGCAGCACCACAGTTTCTTCAGAAACTTACACCCTTCATCTTTTTGCTACCAATACTTTGACACCAAAATGTGCATATCATTACTCGACTGGCGGTTTTTTCTTTTTTTTTTTTTTAATACAATAGCGAGTGAAGGGAGGGGAGGGGAAGTACAATTGTTTGAATAGTTTTGGAAACGTTTTGCAATAATCCGGGGAATTTCGTGGAAATACCACCAAGACAATTAAGAGGCTTGGGCGGAGCGTACTTTAGTCCACACAATGAATCCCCTTAAATTTAAAGATCGCCAAAATTTCTTTATCCCTTGGAAACACCTCATGATCGCATGAAAGGGCGAGTGAAGGGAGGGGAGGGGAAGTGGAATT